GAGCCTAATGCTCAAATTGCCACACTTAGGAGAACATTAGGCGAATGCGATGAATTGATCGTAAAACAGACATTAGGCGCAGATGTATGCACGTCAAGTTCGCCTATTGTGTTAAGATTATGAACCTTTTTGCAAAGTTATAAAGACGATAATCTTTTTTAAGAAATATGACAGATTTGGGGTAGTTTGATTTGCGGTTTCAGTGCTTTTTATGGTGTAAAAGATAAACGCAGTTAGTTAAAGCTTGGCACATTTTCTACGTGATCATTTCACTTCAGTAAAAATGTATGAAAATAACATGAGCTTCCCTAATAATCATTAAGGCAGTGTATTTTGATTTTGCCAAAATCTTCACATCTAACATCTCATATCATCTAGAATTCACAATCGGAATTTGCAGTTTGAAAGGTTCCGGTTTATCAGATAACGCTATTTTTGAGAGGGGAAAATAATCAAATTATTTTATCCTGGGTAGGGCAGTCATCGAACTCTGACTGTATAAAAACTTGCACCCGTAACCGCTGTTTGATCTCAATCAATTTCCTTAGTCGGTATTTAATACCAATGGGAAGTTTTTTTTGTGAGTGAAAAATCATCACATAACTGTCGCCCATGGTCGGGCGGCAGCTAGTCTCAGACTCTTACTGACTAAAAACCTTCCTTCTTCTGCTCTGAGACGAGATTGCAGTGACTCGTTGCGCTTACCCAAAAACCCCTGAGATAGAGTAAGTCCTGTAGCGCATATTAACTGAAAGATGACGTCACTACACAGCTCCAAAGCTTAAAAAATTCAACATGGAAAATAAAATAAAAAACATATTGAAAAATCACCTTGATATAGCCAGTAGTGAAATGCAAAATACACCAAACTGGCAACCCAAACATTGCCACGTAGTTAAAAACAGTCAGTCAAAATCATGTTAGTTGAACCAACAGTTGGTTAACTAAAAAACTAACCGAATTTTTAACTGCAACTCGTTTAAAAAAGCCAGTGAAAAATGATTTTTGGAACTCGTGTGATATTACGTTGCCTATAACATGATAACGTTAAAAATAACGCTCTGTTTTTATAGAATTATAGTGACTGCCAGCGACTTTGCCTGTTTTACTGAGAAAAATAGTAATTCATGTGAATAAGTAGACTATAAGCTATATAATCTGTCCAAAATTCATCTCAAACATAAGTGTGGGAGAACCACGCTTTGGCACAAATGAGTCGGCTCGACCGGAGTGATACCACGACCTCGTGACACTGTGAGACTGGCGTGAAGCAACCACAGCGTTGTGTTTCGCCATGTGAGTGAGGTTACCGGAGGCCCAATCCTTCCCCAATCCCTAAGCCTCCAAATCCTTAATCCTAAAACGTGTTTTTGGCGGTGACGATGTCGGCGCTGATTGCTTTTTTTTTATGTAAGTAATAGGTCGGCAAACGAGCAGACGGATTACCTGATGGTAAGCAATCAGCGCCGCCCATGGACACTCGCAACGGAGGAGTTACGAGTGCGTTGCCGACCTTTTAGGGATTAGGGATTTGGAGATTTAGGGTTTGAGGAGGGATTGGGGAAGGGGAAGGACTGGGCCTCCGGCCTGCCTGCTTAAAAAAATAGTTCAACATTTTTTTATGTATTTGGTAAGCCCCATAGAAAGATACCTACAATTTTTGACGACAACAAACAGGATTCAGGCATAGTAAACAGTTTTCCTTAACAACAACTAATACTAACTTTTCTCGCTCTCGTCCTAATTCTCAATTAACCGACAAGCAAAAGTTTAAGTAGCTTAACGTAACCGCTTAGTTAGTTCATAACTTAGCCTTCTTCATCTCAGTGCTTAAAGTTAAAGAATACAGTGCTTATAAGTTCTGAAACTGTTGCCCTGACACGGAGAAGAACTTGTTCGTTCATTGTTTGAGAAGAGATAATTATTTTCTTTATTCAACATATAAACATATAATTTACATTTTTAAATATTTCTTAAGGAAAAAAGCCCTTTTAATAAAATAAAGATTTAAAAAAAAAATATTTCTTAAAAATTGAAAAGAAAAAAAAACATTTCAAAATATAAAAAATAGTGTCCCACCGGTATCGGGAACAGGGTCCTAGCTACCGGCGGTCAGGGCTCCAGAGAAAGGAACCTCCTGACAATACGAGCCGTGTCCAGGAGTACCACTTTCTGAATCAAGCCCTTAATCCAGCCACCTAACGAGAGCCTCCTAAGATGTTGGTCGAGGCTCTTGGCTATTAAGCCATTGGCTGACACGACTATCGGTACAATGACTGCCGAATCCACATCCCACATGTCGACAACCTCGCGTGCCAAGTCAATATACTTGATTAATTAGAGAGTTAGATAATTATTATTATTATAACCGTATTTTTTTATTATGTAAGAGGTCGGCAAACGGGCTAACTCATGGAAAGCAATCAGCGCCGCCTTAACACTCGTGATGGCGGTCAAAGTTACGGAGAGGCAATGGATAAGAGTGGCGACTTGTCGTTCGACGTGGGCAACAATGGGGAAGGCCTTTGTCCAGCAATGGACACTTCCTAGCTGAAAATAAACCAACTAAAAAAGCGTTTGCACGATGATCACATTACAATAAATTTACCTGACCTAGTAGCTTCGATTTAGGTTTCTAAATTTGAGTTCTTAGTTTTAGTTTCGTCAATATTGTCTTTAGATTTAGGAATAGATTAGATATAGATTCGATACTCACACGTATTGTAAAACAGTAGCGGTGTACCAAATTAATTTTTCTTTCTTCTCTATACATACTTTGTTTAATATTTTATTGCGAATAGGTGACTGAATACATTAGAAATTATAAGTCCAGATTTTCTTACTATGGTTTCCTTCTTGTGTATCATAATTCAAAAAGTCATATTGGTATTGTTATTAAATCTGCGCACTCGTCCATGAGAATTGGCTTTACCCTCCAGGCCAGAATGTATTTATAAATTATTTAAAACAATTACTTTGACTTACACAGGATCTAAACAATATTCAAAAACTGCATTTATAAGGATGACATCAATACGAAATCAGGATTTTTCCTAACGAACATTTTTTATTTTAGAGCAACTTCGTCCAATTAGCAACCTCTTAACTTTAGTAATAAGGTTGGATTTCAATTGTGTGTTGGACACAAACAATTCAATCCGTGAAGTCATTTGCGACCACATATTTAGGTCAAATGCTTTAATGTGTTCCTCATATTTCTGTGTGTGAATTATAAAGGGGACATTCAATAGACAGATGTGAATTTTATGAATAAAAAATGACGATTCTTTTAAAGTTACCTCAAGATTGGCATGCTCATTAAGAGTCTTTCTTGTTTTTATCTTCTATCTGGTCTAGCTGGTCTTGTAATTCTTGGATTTTTTACTGTTACTGTGTAGGAATAGCATTTTCAATCTGCTTTTTGGCCTCTGTTTGTTTTGAATCACAATAAGAGTCCTCTGATTGGTCTTGTAGATGGCGTATGTGTTTGTCCTTCTCTTTCTTCTTGGATTTCTTCATCACATGTTTTTTGGATTGCTTTATCCGTAATATTTATAAAAGCTAAAGGGATATAACTTCATCTACATATAGGGATATAAACGACAGGCTCCATTGAACAGGTTATCAAATCACAGAACATGTTTATTAATTTGTTTTTTTTCGGCGAAAAATTCATCCAATGGCGTCTACGGCGCTGGGTGGGACAAAAAACTGTAAAAGTCTGACCGACTAAACCCCACCATGTTCCTGTGTCTTGCTTCGAGCTTCACGTATCAAACATCACTGTGTTTGCACCCACAATCCTAGTATTTTTCTTCTTCTCAGTTTTGCGTTCTTACAACGCTTATTACACCTGCAAAAACATTATTGTTAGACCTCACAACCGGATGTAACGTACGTCTGTTTACATATATGCATCTATCATTAAAAACAACAACTGTATACAATGCGTCTTTAGCAATTAAAAAAAATGTATCCGGCCTTTCTTCCAAACAAATGTAATACTGAAAGAAAGACTGAATAAATAATACAATAATCTAAGATAATTGTAATAATGCGTTTCTTAATAATTATGATGTCATCTACTGTTCTGTATTGATTATCAGAATAAGTGTTTGCGTACACTTATCGACAAGAGTCGACATTTAGTTGCTTTTTTTATGTAATATAGATCGGCAAACGAGCAGGCGGATTACCTGATAATAAGGAATTAGCGCCGCCCATGGACACCCGCAACGAATGAGTTACGAGTGCGTTGCCGACCTTTTAGGGAGTAGGGGTTTGGAGATTTAGGGATTGAGGAGAGATTGGGGGAGGGGAAGGATTGGGCCTCCGGTAACCTCACTCACACGGCGAAATACAACGCTGTGGTTGTTTCACGCCGGTTTTCTGTGAGGCCATGGTATCACTCCAGTCGAGCCGACCCTTTCGTAGTTCGTTAGTAAACCAGTTGCTGATTATTGTTTCTATGAAAAGAATTTGTCTTAAATCCATACATGACTTTCATTCTATAGATAGCAAGATGGAAAGCCTTTACCTACTATTTCAATATTTTTAAGATTTATTAACGCAATAAGGATTTGCCTGATCAAACTACAGTTTTGTCTGTCTGGTTTCTTTTATTTCTGTATTTTGTAGGAAGTCTTCAATGGTAACTATTACAATATCTGGATATGTGAGACAGTATATTCTTCATCTACATCATTAGCCTGATTTCGTCCGCTGCTGGACATAGGCCTCCTCATATGATCGCCACTGAGATCGATGTTCAGCTCTTCTCAAACAACCACTGCCTGTCACTCAGCGGATTTCGTGAGTCTATCTAACTGAAGGGCGCCCTAACCTACGTTTGCCTAACTAGGGTTCTTCATCAAATGTGACAGTACCTATTTTACAAAATCTTAAAAGTCGTAAGAAAACAAGAGGGATGATATTTTTTTAATGACTGTTAGCGATAATGTGTGCTATGCCTTAGCTGTACAAAAGAAGTAATACAATTCATCCGTTTACTAAACAGCAACTTTATTATAGTAAGTCATTCATCTTTGCATATCTCAATTAGCTGGTTGTCTCAAATTGGTTCCGTGTTAAGAAAACTACAATTGTCATATCAAAACCTTCTAAATACAAAAATAATGGTAAAAAATATGTCTGTAGTAAATAAAATTGTATATAAAAGCTTCTTCAAAAGTGCTTCCTCTTAAACGAATAAAATTACACGCATGTGGCGATCCCATCACAATATATCATGACATTGAACTAATAATTACGTAGCATTCAAAGCAATAGAACTAACGAAGTAGTAGCATCAGTTGTTACCAAGACTGCGCTATCGACAACCTCAACCAGTGTGTTTTAAAGAAAAACATTATTTAATATATGAATTAAAAATATGATCTTTTATAACTCTCTTGATAGCAAAATGTTAACTAAATAAATGAAACCATTTTAACAAACATCAAAATAGTAAAATTTTAAGTGGCTTCCTCAAGGTGACATTTTAGGACCAACGCAATTTTTATGAATTGTAAAAGTGAAAAATAAAATAGTAATTAAAACTTTGCAATAGTAGTTAATGAAAGTGTAAAATGGTGCAATTAAAATATACGACGAATCTTATAGTTTTGATAATATTGTTAATACGGACAGTTAAAGTGCTTAGTAAAAACGTAAGTGAAAATGAAAGATCTTTGAGAGCCGAATTCGTTCAGAAGTTATTAAATAAACCAAATAAGCTTGAAGGAAAAATAAAACTGGTAGGAGGATCGAGTAAATACGAAGGTAAGGAGCGTTTGTGCTCTTATTTCGTTTGAAAACAGTATTTTCTGTAATTATATCCACTTCCATAACTGTAGGGGTACTACATACATTTTTCTAAATCTAACATTTGCACTTTTGTCGAAAATGCCTCACAGGAACATAAGGAAATGCAAGCAAGCATTTTACCGTCTTTCGTTTGCTGGTTGTAGTTTTAGTATATGAACATACATTGTTATATTAGTACTATATTACTGCCGTGCAAAGTTACGCGATTTCGATTCCTGCATGAAACAAATCTGTGTGATCCACAAACTGTTTTCCAGATCTGGAAGTGATTTGTATGTGAAAATGTATGTTTTTAAAAGCACTAACAACACAGCAGCATTGCTTTACATGATGCAACATTTTATTTTAATTAAATAGATTACCTGTGTATATTCAAATAATACTCAACGAATGAACTTTGTGTAATATTACAGGTAATGTCTATATTTATCACGCTGATCGCTGGGGGGCTGTGTGTGATGACAACTGGGATGATGAAGCAGCTTCAGTCGTCTGCAGATCCTACAACTTAAGTGGAATAGCAACTGTCGCTAGTCAATATGGAGAAGCTACAGGTAAAAGCATTTGAACCTTAAGTCTGTCTAATAAAGATAAAAAATTAAATTAAATCGGTATGGTATCAAATCGAAAAACCTACTTTTTTATTTATCAGGTATTAATGTCCGCAATTATTTTTATTCACCATATGCATTAATTAAATTTTAGGTACTTACCAATACAATTAAGATAGCGTATCGCCAAATTCAAATTTTCTTATCTACTGAAAAGATAAACTAAAAAGACTACATCGGCAATGATTTTTTAACCTACATGATTTCTTTTAGAAAAATTCTGGCTAGATGACGTCATATGCCAAGGCGACGAACCAACCCTTTCTAAATGTGTCTTTAACCGTTGGGGATCCACTGATTGTGGGAAAAACGAAGTTGCTGGAGTAATATGTATGGAAGAAGCAGATTTACCTTCAAAACATAACAAATCTCTAGGTGTAGTGTATAAAGAGGAAAGACTGAGTGATGTTATTGATGTATCAATGTCTAAATTAAGGCTGAGTGGCGGCAAGAATACTCGAGAAGGTAGAGTTGAGGTTAGTGTCTCATTTGTTTATATATCTAAACATTATTGCACTCATTATACAAATCAACAAAGTACAGGCTATCATAATATAGATTGTACAACAGCAGCTGACCGCCAGATAACTTTTGGATTTAGAAAGAAGCTTGTGAATTGGCAGTCAGTGTACAGTAATTAAACATCATGTTAAATACAGTAAAATATACTACATGTGTGAGTGACAAATTAAGTTTTAATTTAGACAATATTTGTATTATTAATTGGGTGGTCTTAACTGCAACTACCGACCAAGATCAGTTTGTATCGATTCCGCGGTTAGGTAAAGTAGGAAGTGAAAATTATTTTGTCTTTAAGTAGGTTTCACCTTGCTAGCTCACCAATAGAATAATAGATGCCAGTCAACAAACCTCATTTGAACATCTCAAAAAAAAACCTAAAACGGCTATTTTTAAATTCTAACTTCTTTTAGTTGATTGAAGACCTTATAGGCATTGAGGTCGGTCCCTACACCCTATCTAGGCTTGTATGGCGCTACTTGAAATTACTATCACCGTAACTAGAAACTATCGGATTCATTAACTACTCTCATTTCATCCAGATCTTTCTTAACGGCACTTGGGGCAGCATCTGCCCAGATGGCTGGACGGTCTACGAAGCTGCAGCAGTCTGCCGCCATCTGGGCCTCGGTTTTGCAGAACAGGCCTTACAGACTTACGTCTTTGGGTTCTCCAACATCATTCTCAGTGGCGTTTCTTGTGAAGGGAATGAATCAACCTTGTTTGATTGTAAACATAAGCAGCGCGGTAAAGTGAAATGTCCCGGTGATATCGGTGAGTTAATTTGATCTTTATACTTTTTAAGTAAGGCACATTTTTTAATGTGTGTTGATTTTAAAATTTTTGAGTTGATTTGATTTGATTTGAATAATTTCTGAGTCAAAAATACTCTTATTTAGACGCCATTGACATACGGCAAAGTAAAATATCATAAGACCTTTTTTGTCAGGGGAAAATCATCAAATGACTTCTTCCGCCCAGGGTAAGGCGAAAGAGAGTGTCAGACGCTTACTGACTAAAAACCCCCCCGTTCCTTCTCCTGCTCTGGGCCGAGGCCGCGGTGACTCATTGCGGTTAACCCGCAACCCCGGCTGAAATATCATAAGACCTGGACTTGTAATTTCTAATATATATATATTATAATTTATTATTAATATATAGATATTTTTGTATTCGAAAATTTGCCTTGAGCAAGCGGTGATTTATGTTCAAACCTTCACCGTGTGAGAGGCCTTTGCTTCGGTGGGCGTTTATAGGCTGATGATGTAGGATAAACTGTAATATATCGAGAATAGTTCCCTGTCTTTATGCCCAAAAATAATCTGCCTTATACATAAGTCACGAACTCAAACATACATTTATAATGACTGAACATCAAGATATAATCACAGTATAATATTTAAACGGTGCGGATCTCACAAAAAAAATATAATTTCAAAATGTTCAACTTTGCTTGTGTCAAAGTGTAGTTTTCTATGGAGAAGGAGGTGCAAAAGAGAAAAATACAGAGTGTATTTTGTCGGTTCAATTATGTGAGAACACATTACAACCAGACCCAAAAAAACAATTAGTAATTCAGCCAAAAAGTCTCAGAAGGACACCATTTTTCGGAAACAGCTATAATGGATAACGAAATATAGGTAAGTACCTACATATTTTGCACAAATAAATTAATTTAATACCTCGACTATCAACGTGACAAGCATTTACCGAAATTACAATTTCATATTAGCGATGCAAATTGAACCACGTTTACTGAAAGATTAACGATATTAATTGTATTATTTAACAGTTTACACTGTGTTCCGTACATTATAGTATTTACATACATAAATAAATACATTTAAACGTAATATCACAACTCAGACATTATTGTCCAAGAACACAGAAATAGGTTTGTATATTAATAATCTCTGTTCGCTACTACTTAAGTATTTTTTTATGTAATAGGTCAGCAAACGAGCAGACGGATTACCTGATGGTAAGCAATCAGCGACGCCCATGGACACCCGCAACGGAGGAGTTACGAGTGCGTTGCCGACCTTTTAGGGATTAGGGATTTAAGATTTCGGGATTGAGGAGGGATTGGGGGCGGGGAAAGATTGGGCCTCCGGTAACCTCACTCACACGACGAAACACAACGCTGTAATTGTTTCACGCCGGTCTTCTTTGAGGCCGTGGTATCACTCCGGTCGAGCCGACCCATTCGTGCCGAAGCTTGGCTGCCCCACACTTAAGTATATAAAAGTATATAAGTAACTTTAGTCAAAATGTGTATACTTAATTCAAGGCTTCGTAACTATCGATCAAACGTCACCACTTCATGGCAGATATCCCAACTACATGCACAGATTTATGCGCCTCAAGAAATTATAAGAACTTATGAGCAAAGTCCACTCAAGCTCAAGATCAATTTTATCATAGGCAAAAGGTAGTCCATTTCAAACAAAAAAATAATAAATAAATGTTTAATAAAATTCCTATCAAAAACCCAATATCAATTTGATGATTTTTCTTGCAAACTTTCTTTCACGCCACCATGATGCTTCGAAATTTCGAAAATACAAAGATATTTTTCATTAAAAAACATGTTAGTACGCAGTACATCTAAGTAAGTGTGGTCAAAGCTTTGGCATGAATGATTTGGCTCGACCGGAGTGATACCATGGCCTCTCAGAAAACCAACGAGAAAGACCAGCAGCGTTGTGTTTCGCCGTGTGAGTGTGGTGAAAGTTCCCCTTCCTCCATCCCTCCCAAATCCTTAAATATCCGGCAACGCACTCATAACTCCTTCGGTGTTGCGGGCGTGTATGGGCGGCACCGATTGCTTACCATCAGGTAATCCGCTCGATCGAATCCACTCGAAATAGCACAAGACAGAACATCACAACATGATCAAGCAACTAGTAAAGTCCAACGTCATACCCCACCTACAGAATAATTAAGTTGATCAAGTAACTTAGCTGTTTCCTAAGCTAATAACTAAGTTGCCACCTCGGAACGGAACGGATACGGGTATAAGCAGAGCTCTAGTAACTACGTATTGTGTTACTTAGTTAAGGAAGATCTTGTTTCCTGTATGTGACTTCGGTTTGTTACTTTGTACCTAAGGAATTACTTACCTAAGTACTTTTATACGTATTGGCGACGTCATTGTTCTAGTTAGATGATTCGATTTTGATTTGTTGGTGTGAGAGAGTATGTAGGTTTTTCGATTGAAGCATCAAGTGTCTAAATTCTGTTGTGTTTAGCCTGGTGACTTCGAGATAATTGCGACATGTGAGTGCAGCAATGTGATTCTGTAAGACTTCATTCTAAACTTCGAATCTGAAACCGCTGTGAGTAGTAGTACACTAGCGCTACACTTGCAAGTGGGACTAAATTGACCGCAACATTTTGATAGATAAACTATGAGATGACGTTAAAAGTGGCATTCTAAAATGGCATTTCCTCGTCTTTAACGCTCACTTCAAATTCGAACAATATTCAAAATCAAACAAATTTTATAGAATCGACGTGAGGTTAAAAATGACATCGAGTATAATAATAAAATTTTAATTGGGGTTATGAGTAGAAGGATCTGTCCCCTGATGGTATGCAATCGGTGCCGCCTATGGACATCCACAATACAAAGGGTATCATAGGTACTGTACCGGTCTTTTTGTTGCAATTGGTCTTCTTTAGCAATTAAAATATAGGGACTGAGTCTCTGGTAACCCGACCCATTCGTGCTGAAGCATGGCTCTCCTACACTTGATCACTTTTAACGTGTAATCGATTTCAGAAGGCAATCTTTTGTCGTAACTGATATTATTGATTCAATCCTGCTATAACTCCAAGCAGACTTCAAACTATTTAGAAAATATACAGGAATATATACTGTTCTACTTTCCATGTGAAAGTCACAAGGCATCAGTGGTATTTAGGATAACTAATTCTTGGAAATAAGCTACAATTAAGAGAAATAAATAAGAAAAGTGTGTCTTTAAAAAAATACTTCGTATATCTGGTGTGAAAATCGAAAAGTTAGTCCAGACAGACATTGGAGACATGATTTATTTGTGTTTAAGTAAATATCGTCAGCTGGGCACCATCTGTGCTCATCCTCGGTCTTGTTGATATTTCTTTTAATACAAAAGCTTTGATATAATAATATTGATATCTTCTATTTTATTGGCAATGTTTAGAATATTCTCGAATTGTCGTCTACAAAATTTTATATTGTATATGTACAATTATTTTGGACCTAATAAAAAAAATGGAGATATTTGACCGAGGACTTTCTTGTAAATAGCAGCTACTGACAAATTTGTTGAAGAACTGATGACGATCTAGATAAAAACTTCGAGTCGAGAAACTTTATTTTTGGAAAAAATAAAAACAATTTATAGAATCAGCCGTTATTTCGCGGAAATCCGGAAATCATTAAATGTTATGAAAAATATTTTGTTTTTATTGCGCGACAAAAATCAAGGATGCAATCCCATTCTTATGCAGGTATGCATAAGAATGGGATTGCTTCTGCTTCTTGATTTAAAATAAAAACAATTCAAGAATGGCAATAAAATTGTCGTGCGTTTTCACCGAAACAGCAAGATAGAGATGGCGAACTACTACCACCAGGCTTATCCGCTGCTATTGACAATAGTCAGCAAAACAGCGTAAATTTTTAAGTACATGCATATTGTTAGTTATATATAGCCGACCGTGGCGGTCAAAAGGCTGACCCTGTTCAATAATATTTGTGTGGAGGAGTAACGTTTACTTCCTTATACAATGGAACCTACCTTCATTTCTCACCCTGGCCCTGTCAGATCAAGAGAAGAAATGAGGTGGTTTGTAGTCAATAAGAGTCTGATACTCCCCTCACCCCACCAAAGGCGGTTGAAACCATTTGATCATCATCAGCCTATAAGTGCCCACTTCATCCCGGCTTCATCTAGTTTTTCACATATAAATTGATGTGTAAAAGTGCCGTTTTATGGCCTATTTGCAAAAATAAATTCATTGTTTCATTGTTTCACTGCCGAGCAAAGGCCTCTCCTCGTACGGAGAAGGTTAGAGCATTGATCACCTCGCTTACTCAATGCGGGTTGGCGATTTAAAACTTATATAATTAGAAATTATAAATCCAGGTTTCCTTACGATGTTTACCTTCACCTTCACCGTAGGTCAGTGGCGTCTAAATAATCATAGAAAGTACTTAAAATTCGGAAAAAGGTCACATTGGTACTTTCCTGGTTTCGAACCTCATGCTTGAGAAGCGGGCTCCTTAACCTCCGGGCCACCACGACGTTACATATAATTATGAATCTTTCTCAAAAACCAGTTTCATTTTTTTACACATTATGTTTTCATGTCCAGGTCATACAGCGGCGGTGGTATGCACCCACTTCTTAGCAGATCTGGTTCTGGATACGGCAGTGATTGAGAGATCAGCTCACCTGCAAGACGTGATGATGTACCAGCTACAATGCGCCATGGAAGAAAACTGCTTGAGCAGAACTGCTTATGAGGTAAGCACTTATATTCTTTACTTGTAGGAGAGACAAGATTCAAGGATGGGTTGGCTCCAACGAAGTGATACCACGGCCTCCCAGGAAACCGGCGTGAAAACAGTTGTGTTTCGCGTGTGAGTGAGGTTACCGGAGGCCCAATCCCTACCCCTCCCATTCTATCCCAATCCTTAAATATCCGATACTCCGATATCTACCTAAAAGGCCTGCAATCTACTTGTAACTCGTTTGGTGTTGCGGGTGTCCACGTGCCGATTGCTTACCGTCAAGTAATCCGTATGCTCGTTTGCAACTTATCCCATAAAAAAATAACAAACACGACTGTTTATTTATTTTTTTAATTATTTTATCCAACAAACAATTTATGTTGTGTTTGATTTTTTAACAATACAACAGAGAAATTAATTGTAAAAATAATCAGAATAACAAATATTACAATAATTTTATTATAATAAAATAATTTATTCTCGGTTATTAACTTAAATATTTATATTAACGTCAATCATCGAGAATAGTTTATCTGATATATAAAAATGGATCGCAAAATGTGTTGGTAAGCGCATAACTCAACAACGCCTGGACCAATTTTGCTTATTCTTTTTTTGTTGTGTTTGTTATTGTCAGCAGGTTTCTTATCAAAGAAAGTATTAGAAAAGTAGAGGGGAAGATTAGGAAAAAGTGACCCTTTGATAGCGAGATAGTTAGACCCGTGCGAAGCAGGGGCGGGCCGCTAGTTTCATATATATGTAATAATCATAAAAATTTAAATATTATAAATTAATAAATTTTAAATATTAGTAGGATACTTAAATGCCTAAATCTACGTTTTTCTATTTTCCAGGTTCAAAAATTGATACCAGATTGGCAATACGAAACACGGCGTCTTCTTCGATTCACGGCATCGTCTTTAAACGCTGGCAATGCTGAGTTCAGGCCTTATTTACCAAAACATTTGTGGCAGTGGCATCTATGCCATATGTAAGTTAAATTAACAGACGTGACCTAATAAAAATAGATTTCAAAATAACTTTTCTAGATTACGATTAGGACATTACAGATAAAATAAAAGTCCAAAATAAGAACTCGGAAATAAAATTGAGAAGTTAGAATGCGTTTCTACGTTGCGTGCAAGATTGGACCTCCTGTAACCTCACGCACACAACTATAGTTGTTTCGGTTTAACGGTATCACTTCGGTGAAGCCGGTGCATTCCTGATGAAGCATGGCTCTCTCAGATGAAAAAGTTTAGTTGCAAATTATACTTACGTAGTTTTAATACAAACCAATTTCGTTCATTACCCAACCAATTTTTCATTCTGTTTATTCTTAATTCTTGGTCGACTAATAGCGACGTCTTTTCATTTCATATTTCTAGGCACTACCACAGCATGGAGGTATTCGCGACATTCGATGTCCTGGACGCGAATGGCCTCAGAGTAGCTGAGGGTCACAAAGCGTCATTCTGCTTGGAAGATAACACCTGCATGAACGGAGTGGAAAAACAATACTCTTGCAAGAACTATGGCGATCAAGGTATGCTAAAAACATTTAATTGGGCATCCAGCAAAAGATTCTATTAGGCATTTAACTCGTGTAATAAGGGACTAAAAAGACAATTGCAATGCCATAGATAACTGGTTACTTTATTCCAAACTTCGTCATTTCCACATTTTTGTTGATCTAAAAAGAAAAAAAGTTTATCAGCGCTTTTGATCTTACATTCTTTAAGGTGTGGTATAAATTCGAACTTCAGACATTAAAAAAGAGCGTACTTCTTCTTCTAAATATTCAATAAAACAGCGTATTTCTTCCTAAGAAGCATGAGTATGATCCCAAAATTTTGTTTACCTGAAGAAGAAAAGTAAAGTTCGCTTTCTTAGTAGTTGATCATATTAATGATACTAATTATATTCTAAGGGGCTGTATAAATACAAACTTCAGTCATTTGACCAAAAAGGCTATTTGTTCTTAAAAAGTTTTTAACGCACTTGTATTGCGGCCATGCGGTGCTAAACACGGTGATCTATCCGCTAGGTTTTCTTCTATAATATTTACAAAAAATACTTGTGTTACCAAGGGTTGCTCGTAAAATTAAATAGACTAGAATAGATTAACCCCCATAATTTCTCATTACTTACCTTTCGTACCCAACCATGACCAGTAGCTGTGCGGATATCGGTATGATCAACGTGGTCTTTACTTCAGACTTGCAAAAATATGAGGTACTTTTGTTCCAGGTATCTCAGTGAACTGCTCAGATGTATACATGTACAATATAGACTGCCAGTGGGTGGACGTCACAGATGTTGAGCCTGGAGACTACCACTTCAAAGTATGTATCACATCCATGTCATTTCTACTCTAAGATTTTACCATGCTTATATGTGTAGAAGAAGAAACAGCGTTTGTTTGACGGTTTGCTTGTCCCATTATATGGGAACAGGAATTATCTCTGTAATTATGACTGTGAATTATATCAAATTTCTAATAATATGTTTATTAATTTGAAGCTTTATTCTCACAATCTCGTAAATACCCTGTAGAATTATTAACGTTGCCAACCAGCGGTTAATCCATGCACCAGCGTTTTCATCTCATCAACTCAGATATTTCTTTCTACTTACAAATTATCTATGGATTTCATTGAATCATTTTTAGCAAATGGTTATACCTACTCTAGGTAAACTACCTGTAACTGTTCCCAATATTTGAAATGGTTTTCTAAATTACATTTCGTCACGTATATTATCATTACTTTATTTTCAGGTGGCTGTAAATCCTCATGCAAGAGTAGCAGAACAGAATTATCATAACAATGCAGCTTTATGTAATTTGAGGCTTACCACTACTTATGCTTTGGTCTACGGATGCAAGCACGAAAGACCGTGAGACAATGAGACCAGACCCGACCTTCACTAGAAGACCATAAACCTAAAGAGTACTTAAATACTGAGTAAAAGATTTATTTTTCAGTTTTGTCCAATCAAATTATTTTTCAGCCTAGAACCTGAAATGTTTATTCTGAAGTGATATTTCATTTCTAAGATTGTAAGTATGTATTGTATTTTATCAGTTTCTATTAATACTTTTGTAATTAAGTAACTTGCAAGATTATCTTAAAATGAGTTGTTTGTAAAAAATAAATAATAAAAACAAAACCATATTTTTGTATTATTTTATTCACGACTTACAAATATATTATCACAATGTCATTGTTATTTTAATTAAAAATTATAATTTGAACTGAAAATTTTACAATTTTATAAGAAACATGAACGAAACATTTACGAAATACTATACAATTTTCAATGAAAAAAAACAATTCTAGAATTAAAATTTAAAATTTGTATCCATTAAAATGAGCTCATGCAAATTTCTACAAAATAATTACTACAATAATTTAAAATCTAATTATGTAAAACTAGAAACTATTTACAATAGAAAAAGACAAAATAATATCGAATAAAAAAAATACACCGTTACCTAAATACATTATCAAAATAAATAGATTTAAGTACCACAGATTATTGAGAGCTTATCTATGCACAGGCACAGAGTACTAATTTGATAATCTAGACAAGTGCCTTTCATTATAATTACGTCACAATCACTTTTTGCTGATAGTAATTAACATATGGATGTTTGTCTATTTTTTATCGTAGTAGCATGGTAATTTTTGTTTCTTTTTCTCCATAGATTGAGTTGGAACTTACCAACCAAACTACTGTTTTATCCCAAAAAAAAATGACAATTAATGATAACTTAACACAGTCTTTAGCAGTTCTTTTAGTAACAAAATAAAGCAGAAATAAAAAAAAAGTATTTTATAAAAAAGGAATAAAGAATAATTTAGGTAATAATTAAATTTTCTGCTGTTCTTTTGGCGTTTCAAAATTGTTTGTAATTGATTGTTTGCATTAAATGAACTAAATATAATTTCATGTAACAATGAATTTATTTTTGTAAATAGGCCACAAGAAAGAACTTTTTTTTACATGTCCAAATTTTCTGCTTATTAAGCTAATTTAAGTTTGATTTTAATACAAAATCCCAAGCATTAATTTTAAGCTATAGACATAAAATAGTTCCATAATGATCAGCACTTATCTATACCCAGAAACTGCAAAGTAAAAACAACTAAACCAATGGCCAGTAACACTAAATAAATTTGAGATTAATCATCTTCAATCTAAATGCTTATATTTTTGTTTGTGTACGTGACATCGTTCGTGTTGGACTACAACGACCGTGGCCTCAATTCTTGTAAAACAATTTAATAGTTGACTAAGGACCTATGGAATAGTTTTTATTGTTTATTTACCAAGGTACTGTACTGGCATATTTACTTAAATAGAATAATGTTACATTGGTAATAGAATAAATATTAATTTTGTCTTTGTAAATTGCGAATATAATTTAATGATTGTAATATTACTAATGTTAGCATTCCATGTTTTAATTAATCCGTGTCAATTATTATTAATCCAAATATAAAAATTAGGATTCGTTTTTAAGTTTATCTTAAAGTGCTTATTGTAATACCTCGTAATAAAAAAGGATACTGTCAAATAATTATACAAAACGGCACAACCCATCCCTTTGTATAGAACCTGCACCATAGATAATAATTAGGAATAGAAAAAAAAAACATTACACATATTTTGAGCGAAGTCTTAAAGTTCACACGAAAATATATATAACCTATGGAAATAATGTCGATCCTAAAATAAAAATCAAAAAATAATTTATAATACAATAACTAAATATTTGTACAACTTTGCACTTTCTTAGAATCCGTTTTCAAACTATGTTTTTGTGTTTAAGCAGGTTCTACATATATCACATAATTTTAATTAAGTTAATCATGGTCAATTCCTATACTAGAAAATGTGCAAAAATAATATAAACTGCCACTAAAATTCATTAATAAGCAAATTCAAATTTTAAATTATCTGGTATAATATTGTTTATCGTCAGAAATTTCGAACGACCATACTATTTATTACAGAAAAAAAAATGTCAACAATTTTACCAAATTTTTTTTTATTTTACCAAATTCCCAGAAGCATTATCAATTTTATCATTTAAAGGATCCTAACCATTGCAAAAATCAACCACATTTACCAGAATACAAAGTTTCAAATCCTTTAAAAGATAAACTACTCATTCACTAGTCACACACCAATCTTAAAACTATGGCAAATAAACTACACTAAACATTGAGCAATTTGAAATCTAACTATTGGAAGACGGACTTCAGCCCTTCTTGAATTTGAGGAGTAGGATACTTGTTGTTAAGTAGACTGCAATCCAGGTGGTGACAGAGATGAAGCCAGCATAGACTGTCGGACTGTTAACACTCCAACCTCTTTGCAGCATGGAGCGAAGACCCTCAGTGGATAGAGTGAGAGGGAGGAAGTAGCTGACCCATTGGAGTATTACGTGCATACCTGTAAAGAAGTAAACATGTATGAATAAAGTGTGCTTGGTGATTGGCGAGTGGTGGAATGACCTGATAAGCCATCTGGTCATAGCAGAGAAAGAGAAGTCATTTTAACTACTGAAGAGTCTCAGAAAAATTTCTTCGGAACATAATGTTGGACAGAGATCGTTAGTATCTGACCAACGATGGGAGATTGACGCAAAGTCAAAGTCCCAAGCCTTGGTGCCCACCCCCAATCGCTAAATCTCCGAACCGTCCATCCACAAAAGGAAGGCAATACACACGAAACTTCTCTGAACGAGTATCCATGAGTGGCAGTAATTGCCTACCATCAGGTAATACTTATGTTCGTTTGCCCTATCACTCACTATTCAGTATTCATAGCACTTTTTAAACGAAGGCAGGAAAATCCTCTTTCAAAAATGGACCTTAATAGCGTATTATTATATTCCATTTCGTTTTCCTCTATGGAATATCCAAGGATAGTTACTAAACCTGTGTCGCAATCACGTTTATATTTAGTCAACGGTTTTGTACCCAAAGGGTCTAAAAATAAAGTTCCCATTTATTTGTCTCCTTGGGGATCTGTAGTAGCCATGATGTGTTCTATTTTCGTTATGGTTAAGTAAAGTTGGGGTTTGTTTAAAGCTATGAATGTGTGAGCATGTATTGTTGGGTTTAAAAGATTTAGGAGTGTCAAACGTAGTAGTTCCTTAAATAGGTATGAAGATAAGAGTATTAAGTGTCGTGGTAATATCTGGAGAGTGGAAAAGCAAGAAGAATTGACGAAATTTTTACAACAAAATACAAAAACAGAGTAGTGATTTCTCCGAGTTTTGAGTGTAGATTTCTCCGATGAATGATATTGGCTGAAATGATCATGGAAAAAAAGCATTTAAATTATTTATTCAATCAATTGCTACAATTTTTTGAATAGCAAAAGCAAGTTTAATTTGTAAATAACTATTCAAGTGCGTGTTAAAGTCTAATTCATAGCGAAGTCTGTTGTATACATTTGAGAAGTATATACCTAATAAACACCACACATATACACCACACACACCACAAAGTCACGTAAAACTAGCCGAGCTATCGTAAAATGCGATACGTGACATTAGATAGATTTATCGAACGTCAAACGTAAGCGAAACCGGTGGGAATAGTTAGTCAGGTAAAAATACGACTGCCTCGTTTGTTGAATTACCTCAGACACGGTTAGTGAGCAAGCAAATCGATTGACAGAAGGAAAAAAAACCAAAACCAAAAAACTTTGTTCTGGTGGTTCAATACACCAAACAGAGTTAGCTGAGCTGAATGAAACTTGTGGAAAATAGATAAACATTAGCAACTAGGTTCTATCTCCATTTTAGAACGTTTTTCACGTACTGCAGTAATTGTAAAAAGATTTTGGATAACTGATTTCCAAAAGTACAACCTATAATGTGATAAATATTTGCAAGTGCAGATTTACAAGCATACATTTTATTTTTACACGTTTTACCGTTTTTTCGTTAACAGTCTATCTATTTTTCTTTTATTGGAATAAAAAATATATGCGTGTCGTGGGAAATCTATTAAGCTATTAAAAGGTTTATTTAGATTTCCACTTCACACATTTGTTTTTACTGTCTTTATCTTCGTATATTATACTTACATTATTTTCTATTGATTAGAAAATATTAATGTATACACATATGTATATAAACATGAATGCCACTTTTTGTTGTAATGTTAACTCAACAATTCCTTTACCGATTTGGCTAATTTATGAAACTCCAGCCGATTTCATGAAAGTGCGAAGCCGCGGGCGACCTCATTTTTTTATGTGATAGGTCGGCAAACGAGCAGACGGATTACCTGATGCTAAACAATCAGCGCCGCCCATGGACACCCGCAACGGAGGAGTTACGAGTACGTTGCCGACCTTTTAGGGATTAGGGATATGGAGATGAAGGGATTGAGGAGGGATTGGGGGAGGGGAAGGATTGGGCCTCCAGTAACCTCACTCACACGGCGAAACACAACGCTGTGGTTGTTTCACGCCAGTTTTCTGTGACGCCGTGGTATCACTCCGGTCAAACCGACCCATTCGTGCCGAAGCATGGCTCTCACACACTTAGAGTATTAGTACTTTTAAATAAAGATACTTAAGTCAAGGAGAGATAGAACAAAAAGCATCCCAAAATCTTCGGAAGTTCCATCTGATCTGATGATAATGATTTAGATTTAAATAAAAATGAAGATCTTACCTTCAATAGGCCAGATGATTCCGCAAAGCATCACCATGGGCAGGAAAGATCCGAGAGCGAGGTACGTAGCAGTTCTGTCTGTGTCGCAGATTGTGGATACTACAAAACCTGTAACATTGAAAAAGAACAATACTTAATATTTATTTTTCCTAACAATTCAATACTTCCCTAATCCCTCAATCTCCACACAACACCCTAATGTCCAAAAGATCAGCACCGCACTCGTAGCTCCTTCATAGTCACTGGCTGTCCATCGGCGGCGCTGATTGCTTACCATCAGGTAATTCCGTTCAATATTATTATAATAATAATTTGCCGGTCTTGGGTTAAGAAAGTATTATTTTCGAATTCTTAATTGTACTCATAAGATTGTGCCTGCCTACCCCTTTTAGGGAATAAAAAAAGTTGCTGTATGATTCAGGAATATTGCAACTAATTCTGGAATCATGCCCAGCATTTGACAGTAAGCTCACAATTGTAATAATTATAACAATTAATTAGCCCTTCAAGGATAGGCGGTCTTTGAACAACTACACTCGTAAACCCATAATGATAAAGTATATTTTAAAACAACAATTGTACTTCAAGTTAATAATATAAAAAATCTAAGCATTAATCCAAAATAAACCTTAATAAACTTTAAATCACAATTCAACTCACCGAAAGTCATGCCACAGAGTCCAGTCATCACAGTTAAGCAGATAACCCATCCTACAGGTCCTTTAATGGTCAGACCGAAGACCAGGAAACCAAGGAGCATCACCATTCCTGACTGCAGCATCATGATCAACATCTGAACTAAAACGTGGGAGAACAGGATCTCGGTACCTGAGGACAAAACATTGTAAAATTTAGCTATCAACATAAAAAACTTATTATGAAAATAACTGACGAAATTTAAAAATTATTAAAAAAATAAAGTGTCATGTCATTTATACTTTTTTTGTTGCTGAGGGGGAAATCATCAAATGACTTCTCCCGCTTAGGGTGGGGCGGACAGACTCTTACTGACTAAAAAGCCACGTTACTTCTCCCGCTCTGGGACGAGGTCGTGGTGCCTCATTGCGCTTACCCCGCAACTCCTTCTAGTTGTATTTATACTACAGTTCAAAATAAAATTTAAAAGAATTTTAAAATATTTGTAAATGCAAATTATTTCATTTTGTTAATGGGAAACTATTGTGCTTTTTGTTTTCAAGTGATTTTAAAAATTGAAAGACTGTAATGATCAGATCAGCGCATAACAAAATATCAAAAGTTTTGAGAGATTGTTAACCCATTCAAAAACAGGGAATTGTCGAAAAAAGTGTTAGATTAAGAAAAGAAAACTCCGGAACAAAAAAGTGGTATTGTATAAATTCACCATATCTACAAAAGAAGCAAAAACCTCAACGATCAAGATAACAGCGAATCTAAAGGGCTCTGGAACCCGTTAGCACCGTACCTTCAATTATCAAAACTAATTGGAGTATCAGCAGGACTTAATAGGCTGGAGGCCTACTACAATATTCCGAAACGAAATTTCGCAACGAACCCGCCGCAAACGAAATCTATTACAAATTGTACATTTATGTGGTTCAGTCATGGTTCAGTACATCATCAAATTAGATGACTTGTGCTATTGCTATTTGAATTTTATGAGGAAACCTGATTAATGTATGCAAAAATTGTTTAAATATTGAATTAAAACTTAAAGTAAATTCCGGTGTGGAACAAACACACTTCACACTGCGCGACGTCGCCGCTTCCACGCACACTGCTCATGAGGAAGAACCCCTCTGTAGTTCGAAACTAGTAGAGCTTTTTTCAATATATACACGTGAGTAACCCGCGATTTTTAGTTAATTTAGTATGTCTCACGATAGTTAGTATAAAAACAATAAACACAGTGTTGTGTTTCGCCATGTGACTGAGGTTACCGGAGGCCCAAACCTTGTTACTCTCCCCCTATCCCTCCCTAATCCATAAATCTCCAAAACTCTAATCCCAGGGTGGCCGCCAATGCACTCTTATCTCCTCTGGTATTGCGGGTGGGCGGCGCCAAATGCTTAGCATCAGATAGCACGCTGGATTTCTCGCCGTGCTATCACATAAAAACATAAATATCTACCGGTATGATTATTTATACCGAAATATGATATTGTTATACCGAAATTTCGTTTCGGATCATTGTAGTAGGCCTCGTCTCTCTCATTGGAACATTCCTTCCATGTAGCAATTTGGTCGAATAAAATTGTATTATCATGTTATCATTAACACCGTGTGGTGTTCACAAATGGATTGTTTTAGGGAAATGGATCCTTGCAGATCCTTGTATTTAGAGGTAGAAGAAAAATATATATTGGTTTTGCAAGTTTTGAAGAAATGTGCTTTGTTATTCTTGGTGAGCATTTTAAATGGCTTTTTTTAATATTTCATTTGTAAATTTTCTTACCCAAATATGGTCATTTTTACTCAAAAAAGATGCACTAGTAACGAATGTATTATTTGAATTCCATAATATGCAGTTTGATGGTAAGTATGTAAATGAGAAGAGAACATGAACATTTTGAAGTCACTATTCCACGCGAACGGAGTCGCGGGCAAAAGCCAGTTTATCTTTTATGCGTATGCCTGAATATTTTCAGCTATATTTCAGTATGAGGTGGTGTAAATAGTCGTCATTCTTCTGGTATTCCACAAAGCTGTGTAAATACTTAGAATTCATGAGGCATCATAAGTTTGGAGAGAAATTTTAAACCTCTAGTTTCAATCCAAAAGTTTCTATATAATTTCGAACTGTATCAGAAGTTAAGAGCGTAGTTTTAAGAAGTGAAGTTAAAGAATAATCCTTACTACTGTTATGAATACCAATGTAGAGGGTATCACTCAGTTCCTAGACTTTCTAGAAGAACCTCCCTTCTTAAAAGAATGATTTATGCAAAAATCTATTCAAGGCGTATTGGTGAAATTCAAACTTTTAAGGCGTTTTGTCTTCATCTTCTTTATCAGCCTATAAATGCAAAAAATTGGTGATTTCAAACTCATAATAAAAAATACTTTTTAAAAAAAGCACAATGGCACTTGCCAGGTTTCGAACCCTTCCTTCTTATGAAAGAAAATACACTTCACAAAATACACTACAATTCATGGTAGATTAAAAATAGAAAGCCGAACTAATTTCCAATCTGTCTCTTTAATTAGGTATTTTCTTGGTACAAAAAAGTATTTTTTGGAGTTTTCAAAACTCAATAAAATATTCTAAAAATCAAATCATTTGTTTAAATTATTCATTCATTTTTCAGACATCTGTAAGAATATAAAATTGTCGTGTCACAGTTTTCGTTGCCATATTCCTCCGAAACGACTTGACCAATTTAGATGTCATTTTTTGTCCTTATCCGGTATCTATGAGAATCAGTCAACATCTATTTTTCATCCCCCTAAATGTAACGGTAAATGTAATGGTAATGTAACCCCTAAATTTTATTTTTTAGACAAAATATTTAATTTATATTTTTTTATGATACAACATACAAAAATACATACAAACCTCAAATTTCACCGTTCTGCGATCAACCCTTATTTTTTAATAGTTAAAAACGGGTCAGCTAGTAGTATAATATTATTAAATCTGACTTTAGTAACTTTTCTTGAAGGTACTCACAAAATGAAGATTTATTAAAAAAATACGACTTACTCAAGTGAAGTAATTGAGGAAAGCTTTCCTTCTAATTATTAGCTTCAAGTCATAACGATTAAGATTTGACAAAAAGCATTCCGATTATACCTTTATCTAGTTCTTTACACTGGTTAGGGTCGGGTTTAGTAGCTGGTTCCTAAACTGCCCTGTGAGACAGTTTACAAACTATTAAACAAGTTAGGCTAAAATTTTAATGAATTACAGGTTCCGGATATACAGTTTTATTACTTCAAAATTTTGCCAGTATTATGTTTGTGCAGTACACCTAGATTTTTTTTTTTGTTGATTTGAGTTTAGTTTAGTTTATATTAGTCACGGCAGATGGCGCGTTGGTCTTGAAAAACGAGTAGTAGTAAACTGTACGACGTTTTCTGCAGCCATGTGTTGTGAAATGCTGCTCATGAATATGAGCCCTTATAAGTATTCTATTTTACTCGCTTAAGTTGAGTTTCATTAATTTTCTGTGATTATCCTTTCCTTTTACGGGACCACAGGGTCCCGGACCTCTGAAAGGCGTACGAGTAGCCGAAGCCATCACGCAGAAGCCCGAAGAACTGTTTTAATTAAAATGTGATGGGACGATTATTATTATATTTTTTTCTACATACTTAAATACATTAATAAAATTATGTTTTAAGTTCTTTTGTTATCAGCACCATTTTCAAACGGTCCCATAGTTAACTAGCAAAAAAATGACGAAACTTACCAGTAATACCAGAAACGAGTGATCTCTCGAGGATACCCTCATTCCTCTCGGCCAACATGGAGCCTGAAGTCAGAGCCACAGCCAAGAAGAACACGATTCTGTTGACAAAAAAAATCTTAGAAACTCACAACGTGTTTTAAGTGTGGGAGAGCCAAGCTTCGGCACGAATAGGCCGGCTCGACCGGAGTGATACCACGGCCACGCAGAAAACCGGCGTGAAATAACCACAGCGTTGTGTTTCGCCATGTGAGTGAGGTTACCGGAATCCCAATCCTTCCCCAATCCTTAAATCTCCCTAATCTCTAAAAGGTTGGCAACGCACTCGTAACTCCTCCGTTGCATCGCCCATGGACACTCGTCCATGGGCGGCGCTAATTGCTTACCATCAGGTAATCCGTCTGCTAGTTTGCCGACCTATTATATATATAAAAAAAAAGTTTGGAAGTGTGTGGAAGAGTCATGCTTCAGCACCAATGGGTCGGCTCGACTGGAGTGATACCACCGCATTATAGAATACCACCGTGAAGCGACACTTACGTTGTGTTACAGGCCGATCTTTTCCCATCCTCCCCATCCCATCCTACCCATAAATCCCTAATAACCCATAAGAACTCGGTATCGTACTTTTAGTGCCTCCTTTGGTATTGCGGTGGCTACGAGCAGCGTTGATTATTTACCATCAGGAAAGCTGTCCGAATGCCATTCACACATATAATAAAAAACCTATGTCTAAACAAAGTAAAAGTTGTATATCAAAATAATTGGACACACAAGCACGTTATTTTTTGGACAAACAAGATCTCAAGGTCAGGGCGCAGAAAAATTTAGCCCTCAGTCACAATTTCGTACAAAATGCCAAATTCTTCATTGTGGAGTACCAACTATGTTTCCGAGATTATAAACAGCTATGACCCACCATAATGGCACACAATAACTTTCAAGCCAGTCAGTGACATTTTATAACATAAACATAGCACAATCAAGTAGAAAATAAAAATAAAGATAATATTTTTTTTTAATAATTGTCCTATTTTTCCTCCGGTAACTTCACTCATATGGCGATTTAACACAAACTTTATGACACTCCTGTTTTATGCATAGCCATAGTACTACTTTCATTCATTTCTCATTATGATAAAATACTTACGTTAGAATGACACCAGGTCCAGCGAAGTCAGTCAAGTTAGGAACCTCGAGACCATAAATTGGTTTGTTGAACTGAAAAATAAAAGAAAATATTTATTAATAGGTATTTGTCAATTTTTCATAATAGATGATGGCTGTAGTACGATCACTGTTAAATCTGAATCAACCAATCATCATCGTCATCATCAACCTACAATTATCAGACTCTTTTCACACTGAAACTTATAATTAGAAATTATGAGACAACTTTGTTTTTCTGTTGCCCTACACTTGGATCACCTTGGTCACCTAGGAACACCGGAACAACACTTTTGGATCACACAAACAATTGTTACTTGCTGTAATTATACCCATGACCGTGACGTCAGCCGTTTTCCAAACCACAGCGTCAACTGTGTAGTCTTTTTTTATTCTTTTAAATAAACGTTGCCCCATATTCGGATTTTCTCCTGTGTCGTGGGTGCGGTTACAAACATACAATTTCACATAGACATGACACCCAGACATCAATTTGTGTGTTGTTCCGTGCGGGAATCGAACCCGCGACACGTTGCACCGGTTGCATGGCAGCCAGTTGACCAGCCACCGCACCAACCATGCAGTCGATTAATAATATTATGTTTTTTTTCTATCATAGAACTTTTAAACAATGTCAGGGAGATTGGAATTTTATTGTACTACTCCAATTATTTAAAGAAGTCTCGACTCTTGACATAAAACCTTGGTGTATTCAAACCTAAGCTACTCTCAAAGATCGTGAACCATGCAATTGGGTAGTTTCCTAGGTCAGAAATAAATTAATTTGACGTTTCAATACAATAAAATATAGAAAAATAACTATACTTTTATTCTTCGATCGATCGATACTTAGTGTATCGATAGCGTAGTTATCGTATCGTTTTAGATATTTTTTAGCTTATTATGAAGAAATAAGTAAGCTATTTGACGCAAAAATACTATGACGTCATAATTTAAATTTTCATACAAATTTCATAGAAAAGTATCGTTTTTGACATTTCGTTAAAAGTATTGAATTTGACTAGTTGGAAACTACCGTATTGTAAGAAACAATATACAAAACCAGGCCAATTTGATTACCCTCGTAAATTTCAATCTACATCTGTCTAGACTAGACATTTCAGACATCCGTAGCCGGGTCTAGAGCTAAATCTGGTTAAATTAATGTCTGTATAAGTTGTCCGTCAGTTTGTCTAAACTTAATGCTAATGAAGCTTGCTTCAGAGTGTGTTGTGGCGAATTAGATCGGTAGATTGGTTTTTAATAATAACGCAATTGACAGTAGTGATAGATGTACAATGTCTTGAATTGCAGATAGAAATATTCTTTCGTACTTTTTAACAAGTAACTTTATTAATTTTTTATATTTGCTAATTCATATTTTAACCGGTTCAGCTTTACCAAAAAAAGGTGCAATTGATCATATGATATACGGATAACATGTCATGTGTTAATAATAAAATAACTAATAAAAATAGAATAAATATAAAAAAATGTCGTGGTGGCCCGGAGGTTAAGGAGCCCGCTTCTCATGTATGAGGGTGTGGGTTCGAAACCTGGCAAGTACCAATGTGACTTTTTCCGAGTTATATGTACTTTCTTTGATTATTTAGACACCACTGACATACGGTGAAGGTAAACATCGTGAGGAAACCTGGACTTATAATTTCTAATTATAAGTTTGAAATCGCCAACCCGCAGTGAACAAGCGTGGTGATTAATGCTCAAACCTTCTCCGTGTGAGTAGAGGCCTTTGGCCTTTGCTCAGCAGTAGGCACTTATAGGCTGATGATTATGATAAAAAAATAATGTGAATTAAAAAGAATACGTGTTTGGAAACAATATTATTCAATTACTTACAGTGACTGGAATGGACATGATCCTCGCAGGCAGGTCGCAGATTTTAGCCAAGTGCTCCGTGGCTTCCATGAAGGCCAGCTGAATGTCTCTGGACAACATCCACTCTACTTGCTTGTCTGTTGACAAAATTAAAATATTAATAATTAATTTATCAAACCTCAAGCGAACGCCTTTGTTTGTAAATGATTTCTTAGCAAACCTTGGAAAGCTTGATATTTTTTTTTTCATAAGGCCGTTGCCCCACATTAGGATTTTCTCCTGTGTCGTGAGTGCGTTTACAAACATACAAATTCACATGCACATATCACACCCAGACCCGGAACAACAATCTGTGGATCACACAAAGAGTTGTTCCGTGCGGGAATCGAACCCGCGACACGTTGCGCGGCAGCCAGTTGCCCAGCCACCGCGCCAACCGTGCAGTCGTGCAGATAATTATAGTCATCGATATCGAGACACATAAAGAATCAGTGAACAGTATAAAACAAAACATGAGAAGAACTGATTAAAAACGCAACAATCTCCTGAGGCTAGCAGCTCGTACACAGAGTTTCATATTATAAGGATTCATTTGAATTCTTCAAAAGTCTTCAAATTATTTAACTTAAAACCCTCTAAGGCTTTGGCAACAATATTATTAATAACGCCTTAGGGATTTTGCCAGAGATTTAGGCAGACATCTAGACACATGACTTTCTAATCTTTACAGTCTTAGACACAGGAGCGATAATCAAATGAAATATTTATTGAGGCTTTAGACGATGTATTGATACCAGATAGTTTAAGTTTATCGCGTTTTATAAGGTCTCCCGTTTTGATCCCAAAGGGGTAGGCAGAGAGGAACAACTTCAAAATAAAATATAAAAAAAACAAACGTTTATAAGAAGTTTCGAGGTAGTCCCTGGAAAAAGGAACTTTTTCTATGTTTTCATAAAAAAAAATATTTGAATTTAGAGTATAATCAACAAGCTTCGAATTAACAGTTAGGTATACAAATCGAACGTGCAAAATTTTAGCTCAATCAGAGATATTTAATATCAAACTTAGTTGCAAGACTCAACCATTACACATTCACTTTATAAACATGCATACTTGTTTTTTAAACCTTGCTCTATACTAGGGTATCCTCCTGTGTCGTGGATGCGTTTACAATTATACTATTTCATAGACACACGACATCCAGACCCGGAACAACAATATGTGGAATAAAGTTTCCGTTTATACCCTTTAATAAATAATCTTTTCTTTCTTCTTAACAGTAATATATAACGGATGTCTTCTTGTCCGCTGGACCGTGTAAATTCAGGCGCTTAATTGAATTTACTCAATTTTGTATTCAAAGAAAAGTTGTAAACAAGTTTTATTACCAACTTTTCATTGCATTTTGTTCTGCTCTTTTTTCATATTTTGATTTTCTTATTCCAAGAATACTATTATTTTATGACTTTTATCATCATCGGCCTCCAAGTGCTTACAGCTGAGAGAAGGTCTTTTCTTACACGAAGAAGGTTTGAGCGTTAATCACCACGCTTGCTCAAGGCGGATCGTCGATCACATCCAGGGACTTTATGATTTAATATTAATCCTTACTTTATTGTTTATTATAGGATTTAGACGTGATCTTTATTTAAAACATTATTCATACAATTTTGAAAGCGTGATTGGTTGTCATTACCAATCATGAAAACACAGGGTCCCGGTCATTCGGGAGACGTAGGAGCTATCGTAGAGGCCCTTTAGACAACTTTAATCTTAATGAAATGGGACATAAAATCGTGACTTGTTGTCTTTATTTTAAATTTATCTTTCCTCCTGCCTAACCGGGACTCGATGTATTAAATAAATATTATTTATTTCACGATACATACTATACAAAATGACTTAAACATTCTGCACTGCAACCATTTTAATTAACGTTCAAAAGTCTTAAGTACGAACGAGAAACGTAGATACCTACCGATCCACTCAAGTAGGTCAACATCAAGCGAGCGAACCTTTGCATTCAATAAACAAGGCTACCAAGGATATTTGTTAACTCCTGCAATAAAAGCCACCTCATCCGGATACCCGTGTCTAATAATGGTACATTAATTTTAAGAAAACAATCCATTCAAGGGTCTCTGTGACCCTTTAACGGGTTCGTGATTGAGTGTTTAATTAAAGGTGTATGAGGTTAAAGGAGAAGATTTTCTTGATTGGATAAGAAGATAAGAATTTGCTGAAATGTGCTCACGATGTATTTATTTATTTTAATGACAATGATATTTTGCACAAGAGAACCGTAATCCAACAGTAAAGTTCCGAGCGTACGGATCATAGTGTTCCGCGCGCGCCTCGTCATCAAATGACTTCTCCTGCCCAGGGCCGGGTGGGAGGGAGTGTCAGACTCTTCTTGACTAAAAACCCCCCTGTTCCTTCTTCTGCTCTGGGCCGAGGACGCGGTGCCTCATTGCGCTTACCCCGCAAACCCGGCTGAACATCAGCCCTTTAGGGCCCCGTCTGTGGTGGTCTATTCGCTCTTTGAGGCGCGCGCGGAACGCTACGCGCCATACGCTCGGTTTCAGGCTCCAATGGATAGCGATGATTGCTTATCCTCAGGTCATCCGTCTATTCGTTTAACATACAAAGAATAAAGTCGCATTCGACTACAGGAAAATAAACTAATTGTACGAAAAAAAATATTCACATGTAAAATTTTGCATAAGATTCACTTTGCATTTTTTTTAATTTTTTATTTACAAATTGCCTTTAAATGAAGTATCATATTTAACCCCACTTAATCCAACTAATGAAGATCAAACAATATTTCTTAATCTCGATATCGCAAAGCAAATAAACAAGCAAGGATTTAAATCTCAAATTGAACTCTACGTGACCCTAAAACGGGGCAACGGACGAAATAATCCAATGTCAACATAATTCCGTCACGTAAATCTGATTTAATTAAAGAAGATGTGGTATTACCGTGTAAATATCTTATAGAATGCTTATTATGTGGAAAATCATGCCTTAAAATGTGTTAATTAAAGGCTTCCAATTACTTCCTTCATAGGCAAGCAGTGTTCTGCTTAATAATTATGTATAGTACAATAACTTTTCCCATTTTTGGTATTTTCAATCTTCTGATGACTACAATAAGAAATAAATTTTATCAGCAGTACTGTACTGTTTTGCAAGATCAATTACAAAAGGATTTCGTTCATCTGTTGGCAGCATGTGACAGATTTCAGTCTGTCAGATATAGTTTATTTGCTTAGCACTATTTAAATAAACATGATGTAGAAATTTTTGATTGACGGTGAAGGTAAACATGGTAAGGAAACCTGGACTTATAATTTCTAATAATAAGTTTGAATTCGCCAATCCTCATTGAGCAAGTGTGATGATTAATGCTTCTCAGTGTGAGAAGAGGACTTTGATCAGCAGTGGGCACTTATAGGCTGATGATGAAATGAGTGATGTAGGAATTTTGATTAACATATTATTATCACCTAATTCTGAAGCCGCTCTAGAAAGCTTAAGTAGATTATAAGGTACAATGGGACTGACATATACTATATATAACAGAACCTTAATATCATAAAGAGAAAAAAGGACCGTTTACAAAGTCACTAATGTTTCGTTGTATTGTATTTTCCTATCGATAGGGAAATGTTGTATCAGGCGTTGCGTCGTTGACCAGACTGAATACAGTTTCCCATACAAATGCTAATAGTGGCCACCGGAGATGTTTTAGTGAAGTGGAAATCACTAACTCCCTGGCCGTTTTCCGAATTAAGGGAAACCTTCAAAAGTCATCTAGTCTTTTGATAAACGAAAAAAAGCAATTTTGCTATGCAAATAATGTAGTGATTACCCTTTGAGGTAAGGTTACGGTGGTATGTGAAAGGGGTCAGAAAAGAAAACTATCAATGCGAAATTTTTATAGCGACAACAACAATATTGCTTCTCCGTATTTGTTTATCAAGGTGTCCCGGAAACCCACAACCCATGTACAATCATTAGAAAAAATCGATTGAGGCAAAACTGTACTAAGAAAATATTTTTGATGAAGTCAAAAGTCAAAAGTTTTTTTTTTCTTCAGGGACCTTTATACATTGGTCCCAATACGCTTCCCAGGGAAAACTTGGTATCAAGTTAAGATATCGAATTTTTAGACCCTTACTGTTTCGGTTTCTTTAGTAAAACTACACGAAGGTAGTCTCTAAGGAAGTTCTCATATTATCTGTGGGTTGTTTTTGAAAATTTACATAGTAAAGGGAAAACGGTTAGAAGTTAGTATTTGACTAGGAAATTGTATCTACATAAGTTATAGCATACATTTTTTTTGTATCCAGTTTATTTTTGTTTTTTATTTATTCAAGTGTCATTTGCAATGAATGGTCGCAAGCTTAGTTATCTTGTTAATCAACTTTAAGTCGCCTAGGACCAATATGGTATAAAATGATCACCTTCACATCTCATTGCTAACTTTAAAATCCGATATTCAGTTTATATACATATATGTGGTAGGACTGCAAACGGGCAGGCAGATTACCTGATAGTTGGCAATTAGATTTAAAGGTTGAGGTGGGAGTGGGGTTTTGGTAGCCTCACTCACACAGCGAAACCAGCGATGTGGTTATTTCACGCCGGTTTTCTGTGAGGTCGTGTTATCACTCTGGTCGAACCGATCCATTAGTGGTGAAACAACGCTCTCCCACACTAAATTTAAGTTGTTGTCAATATTTATACCTACTCCTCTAAAAACCCGTAAACCAAGATGGCAAACAACAAATAATATTCTCAAGATAAAATAGCTTTTACCATATCTCATTCCAAATTACGAACATTCAACATATTTTCGCCGTAAAACCGAGAGAAGTCGCTTCCAAAATCCCCGGAGCTCGCATTTTTTCACGAAATTTGTGGCACCCGACGAAATTTAAGACAACTGCTACTTAATTTAACAAATAGGGTCGCATAATGGCGCTTGAGACAAGGAAGATACGTTGAATGTGGGAAAGGGATCGGTTGTAATGATTCAGTACATATCTGGCCTCTTTTTAACAAAATGATTCTTTAACAATAATTCAAATAAGTACATTATGACCAAAGTTGATGTGAAAACTTTATTACGTAGATATAACTCTGACGTAGAGCAGACGGATTACCTGATGGTAAGCAGTCAGCGCCGCCTATTGACACTCGCAACACCAGTGGAGTTACGAGTGCGTTGCCGGCCGTTTAAGGATAAGGGTCTTGGATATTTAAGAATTGGGAAAAGATGGGATGAGGGGGAGCGATTAGGCGTCCGATGACTTTACTCACATGGCGATACACAACGCTGTGGTTGTTTTACGCCGGTTTTCTGTGAGGCCGTGGTACCACTCCGGTCGAGCCGACCCATTCATGCCGAAGCTTGGCTCTCCCACACTTCCATATCAACAAAAGAATGATGCTAATATTGTCCTAGACAGGGTCAAAAAGAATTATGATCCCCATTTGACAATGACACGTCAGATAGAGTAAACAAGAAAATCATGTTAGTAGCAATGTTGCCAACACGATCCTTTATCTCAGGGTCCTAAATAAACAAAATATTATATTACATAACTACCTCGTTAGTCAAGAGGTTGTAAGTATAAGTTACAGGTCTAATTTCCAAGTTAAACCAAGTACTATAGGAAACTAGTTTCTGGCAGAGTTGTCTATACTAATATTATAAAGAGGTAAAATTTTTAAGTTTGTATGTTTGTATGTAGGGGGTAATATTTAGAACCGCTGGTCGGATTGCCTAAATTCTTTCACTGATAGATAGCTACAATGTTCCTGAGTGCTATATGCTATAAAACATCACGCTACGATCAAATGGAGCTGAGCAGCGGGTGAAAAGCAGCCTTCTTTATTTCTTATTCCAAAATGTCAGGACATTCCAAACTTTCGAAATTGGTCTGCTCGACCGGAGTGATGCATGATGCGTGCATCACTCCGGTCGAGCCGACCCATTTATACCGAAGCAATGCTTCATCTAATTCTCTTCTGCCTTATTCTGTCAAATGTTAAGAGCCTTAGTTGGGTCTTCAGAAAAGACTGGAGAAGATAGGGAACATGTATATTCTGTCGCCATCACACAACTGGGAAAAATTTCAACATACTAAATAAATTCACACACATAATTGCAACATCGATATGGGCGTGCACGCTGCTGTTATGACAGCATAGCGTCCAGTAATGACATGAAACTAAAACATTTTTCGTTTACGCGCTGGAGTTGTTATTTTCTATATAAAGTATTATAAAACAACATTTATGCCACCATTTGGGACTGCCACATAACATTCTATAATGAACTGGCCACCATGAAAACTAATGGTGCAATCAAATCCTTACATCATTTGCATTTAGATAGAACATTTCCACAGTCCAGCCATTGGACACCATTGATTGTTCCAGACATGTACGCCATGAAGTTAAATGGGGTTTTATTATCATTTTATAATTACATTATAAATAATATAAGGTTTTTGATTAGATTTCCAGTAAAGTTAACAATTTTAACGATAAACCTATCAGAAAAAAAGGTAAAACATAAGTATCAGAAAGAAAATTTACTGTAAAAATCCTTATTCACCATTTCGGTGATCGAAATCAAGGTCAACCAATCGGTCAACTGGGAATAAATATTTTAGGCATTAAGTTTGCAAATATTATAAAAACAAAAATAATATATAATTCTTTAAATCAACTCTACATCATTTTTCTTGTGTTTTACGCATATCCAAATCACGAGAAAACCTTTTATTAACGTTTTAGTTTTAAACGATACAATATAGGTAAATTGCAAGCTACTACAAATTTGCAATGAAGCAAATACATATTAAACCAAATGTACTACAGAACCTTGTACTAATTATGTACGTCTCAGAATACCCCAAACGGATGCTACTGCCTTAAATTCAATCTTATCACACAGAATTTAACGTCCAAAATGTAGTTGACCAGACCAGACCATTTCCTACGGGAAATTTATATCGGACACTGATGCCCCGTTTTAAATGCAAAAGAATATGAATTAATGCGAACTTTTATGAATTTGTGAATAGAATAACGTTTGAAAATTTGAATTTGTTTTAGATTATTCAATGTTGCCATTAAATCATATTATTCCACGATTGGTAGAATATTTTTGTCCGGTTTTCCAATACTGTGACTAAATATTAGTGTTACACTGTTCTCACATGTTAGAACCAATATCTCACTCATAACATCTTATGAGAATAGGGATGACAACTAAAACATAATAATTAGTCCATCTTTTAGAACGCCAGAAAATAATAATTTTTTTCCAGTATTTTTTTCACGAAAGAGTGACGTCACGAGCCCCTACTCCTGAATTTGAATGTGCTTTGCCAATATTATTCGTATGGACATATAAAAAAATACGTATCGAGTATTTTTATATCACGCTGTTAAAAGACCCTAAGGTTATGTAAAACATAGGAATAAATGACTCACCTGTATCATCCATATGGGTTTCAATATCGGAGTTCTTGACTGTCCAGAAGTTTGCATGTCTAGGGTCTGTGATCCTCAGCTGCAAAGACTCGGAGAAGTTGGAGTGGAACACCATGACTACACGCGCTTTACCATGTCGGGCCTCATTCATAGCTATCTCTTTGGTTGGGTATAATATCTGATGGAAAAAGATTTCAAATTATTTTGGGTTGTCATCAACAACGTCTTTTATTTGATTTTTTAAATATCTTCTGAGTTTTTTAGTGGGTTAGTATCAGTTTAATTAGAACAGTCCAATGAATAAGGCAATTACTGAAAATATGTCTATATTTTTTTGTAATATACGCTTTGGATAATTTCTGGAAGCTTAGCAGCAAAAAATTAACAAAAGGTCCCTTTACGACAAAATAATAAAGCAAAACAAAACAACATAGTTACTTGTGGAAGAAAGACAACATTTGCTTTTAATAAAATAGACTTGTCTTCTTTGATTAAATAAAAGAAAAGAATACAAGAAAAGTCAAAGGTAATGTAATTAAAGCAATCACTTACCAAATTCGATTGTCTTTTCGACAAAAAGTCCAGATATTCACAACTAAATCTTGTTAGATTCCATTCATACGTATTTGGATCTTGAGGGCAGACGTTTTTATTATAATCGCAGAGAGCATCCGTTGAGTTGACTTCGTAATTCACCACGGCTATCGGCAAGCCGACAGGGTAGTGACCAATGGCGACACAGAAGAATATCATTTGAGATACTGGGAGACCGAGAAGGAAGGCCAAGGCGCTGGAAGAGAAGATAATGTAATTTTAGACGAGGACTCATAAATTTGCGTTTGCAAAGATTTGCTACTATATGACTTCTGATAGTTTTTAAAGCTTTATTCAACTTGACTATTTATTATTCTTATTAATTTTATTTTCATCGATAACATGACATATATGGTAAATAGTTTTCTAAAATTAAGTAGCGACAGTCTAATTTACTCCTCCCCTCGATTTCCTCGTTCAATTAAGGTAATATATACTTAAGCAAGAAAAAGAACAAAGAATTTAAAAACCAAACTTACCCAAAATTCCTGAACAAACTCAAGAAATTCTTCCAAATTAACGCCTTCATGTGATGCCATTTCATCGGCATGTACATTTCCATACTTCTTCGAGGCTTCTCTTCTGGGGGCATAGCTTCTATGGGAGCGATCAGCTCAGGAGTCACTACCACTCGCCCTTTACTGCTCATGGACACGTTGTCACCGAATTCACCAGATATTTCACCAATTTCAGCTTCTTCTAAGTCTACTGCTGCTGGGTTCTGTAAATAGATTAGTTCTTTAGTATCAGTTTTTGAATCGGGTTCAGACTACTTTCTTAAATGCTTATTGACAATAATAACGTCGTGCGTAGAAATTATATCTTCACATAGATGTCGAAGATACTGTGACAGAAAACTCTTTGACATCATGACGTCAATGGATGGTTGTCAAACGTTGCCTAGAGATTGTAAATTTCGTCGTGAATTGTCAACACGAGTTGGTGTAATCGGTAAGGCGTGTGGATTACACCACAGAGACCCCGAGTTCGAGTCCCGCCGTAAACATGAAGTTTTTTAGTTGATGGAAGTTTTGTCGAACTTTCTGGAATATTTGAGTGAAAGTGATGAAAAATTAAGGAGCGAGAAGGAGAATAAATAAAAATGAATAACGAAATTATTGGAAGGTTCTGGAGGCATGACGATCAAAAAGAATAACGAAATTGAATGTTCTAGAACCTGACCGGGGGTATATAAGCGGAACTGCGGCTCACCGCTGGCAGTTGTGTTCTAAGTCTAAAGCGATTCGGAAGAAAAGGAAGAAGTGAAAAAGAAGAAAAGTGAGTGAAATAGTGAAGTGCAGTGAAATAGTGAAGTGCAGTCAGTTAAGTGAGTTAAGCCAGCGTGAACGGCAAAGTTGTGTCAGTCGGCCGGGCTCTGCTGGAGAGGAACGCCGATAACTTAACTCCGTGGACGCTGTAACTTAAGTGCAATAGAAAGTCTGAAAACCGGTATTAGTGTTTCATTTCATCCAATCCCGTTACCCAAGCCCGCATAGTCAGGAACGTGACGTCAGGCACGTAACATTTGGTGTCAGAAGTGGGATTGGAGAAAAATGCCGCTAGTACCGCAGGACGTAAGAGGAGTGAGTACCTGTGCTATGTCAGAAGCGCAGCGTGTGAGGGAAGAAAGTGCTGCAGCTCAAACCAGCGATGCAGAAGCCAAGCCTGTGCAGGTGGATCTTCTGCTACAGCTGCAGCAAATGATGGCAGAGCAAGCGCGCCGCCAAGAAGAGCAAGCGCGCCGCCAAGAAGAGCAAGCGCGCCGCCAAGAAGAGCAAGCGCGCTGTCAGGCAGAACAGCTGCGGGAGCTGAAAGAAGAGCAAGCGCGCCGCCAAGAAGAGCAAGCGCGCCGCCAAGAAGAGCAAGCACGCTGTCAGGCAGAACAGCTTCGGGAGCTGAAAGAAGATCAAGCTCGTCGCCAAGAGGATCAAGCTCGCCGCCAAGAGGAGCAAGCGCGTCGCTTGGAAGAGATGCACAGGGATTTCACGAAGGGACTGCAAAAGGCTGTCGAACGGGTACAAGAAGTGGAGGAAGGGTTAGGCAAGTTGAAACTTCGCGTCATGGCGATAGAGGAGAGACTGGAAGAAGAGATCTCCAAAATCAAGCAGGAAGTGACAAACCCAAGCCCTTTGAAGAGCCGAAGCCGTCTTGCAGCCGTTTTTGACGCCCCAAATGCGGCCTTAAGCGCAACGAAAGGGCTCAAGATTCCCCATTACGACGGAACAACATCCTGGACTGCGTTCAAGCTACAGTTTGAGACACTTATGGAGGCTTATGGTTGGACTCAGAAGGAAGCACAGTCAGCCCTTACCCTGGCCCTCCGTGATCAAGCGCTCTCAGTGCTGGAAGCTATCGGCGCAAGTGGGGATCTCAGCTTTAGTGCCCTCCTCGACGCACTTGAAGCACGTTTTGGAGACAGCCACCTCGAGCACGTGTATAGAGCGCAATTAAAAGAGCGTACTCAGCGTGCTAATGAGAGCCTACAGCAATGGTCCGTGGAAATCGAGAAACTTGTACGTCGAGCTTTCCGGTCGACTCCGTCAATGATTGAAGGCACGCTTCTCCAAGCGTTCATTGACGGTATTCGGGACCCAGAAGTACGAGCTGCTGTTCATCTGGGCCATCACAAGATCATGAAAGAAGCTCTGGCCCATGCATTGGAAGTGGAAGCCGTGCGTAGCAACTCCCGTACCTTACGTCTGCGGGAAATGACGACAACGGAGCAGGTACCTCCACGCCGTCGGAACTTCATGTGCTATGGATGTGGAGAGCGTGGGCACATACGGAGCGACTGCCCGAAGAAGATGAACCGCAAGGACGCGGCGGTCTCAACTTCTGACCAGCAGGGAAACTTAAACCCAGCCAGGGCTGCGGGGTGGGCGCCGGCTGGTAGTGGAACAACCCCAACAATCTACATCAAGCAAACCAACGATGGAAATACTCTGGTGATAGACGGTCAAGTAAATGGGAAAAACAGTCAGCTAACATTAGATACTGGAGCTTCAAGGACGGTGATAAATGTTCGGCTGCTCGAGCACAACATCAGGAAACACCTTAAACCAATTGTTGGCCTACAAATGAAATCAGCTACCGGCCAGTGCATACCGATAAGTGGAAAACTGCATGTAACAATCAAAATTGGGGAACGTGTTTATCGACATGAGGTTATTGTGGCCAAAATTCTGGATGACTGCATCCTGGGACTTGACTTCCTGCAAGGGCACCAGTGTAACATCGACTTAAAATCTGGAGTATTACTATGTGGAACTGAGGAAATTCCGATGAAGGGTGGAACCCTGGGAAAAGTTTGCTGTTTAAGAAGAACTGTTCTTGCACCAAAATCACAGACTCTCGTACCAATTGCATTACCTAGGAGGAGGGAAGGAAGTTTACCTCGAAGGTGCGCTGTGATTGATAAATCGGAACACGTAAACTCATGGCTACCGGCAAGAACTGTCGTGGGGTCATCTGATGTTAACCGCATTCCGGTATTCAACTTCAGTGATTCAGAAATTACGATTGAAGAAGGAGAGCCTGTGGGCGTATTGGAAGAAGTGGCCTGGATAAGAAAATGCTCGGAAAATGTTGTGAAAAAGGACAGTACGGGAATAGACTTTGTAACGAAAATCTTAGACGAAAACAAAAGTCTGACAAAAGTGGAGACTATGAAAGCTAGAAATTTACTTCTTCGATTCTCTGATGTGTTTTCAAGAAGCGATGGTGATATTGGCCGAACTGGTTTGGTGAAGCATAAAATAAACACAGGTGATACAATGCCAATTCGTCAAAGGCCCAGACGTATACCATTCGCTCGTGAGAAAGAGGTTGAAGAAATGATTGACGATATGAGGAAAAATGACGTGATAGAGCCCTCTTCTAGCCCTTGGTGTTCACCTGTCGTGCTTGTCAAGAAGAAAGATGGTTCAACGAGGTTTTGTGTAGACTATCGACGATTGAATGATGTAACCAAGAAGGATAGCTACCCGTTACCAAGAATCGATGACACACTTGACACACTGAGTGGCATGAAATGGTTTTCAACGCTCGATCTGAAAAGCGGCTATTGGCAGGTGGATTTGGATCCCAAGGACAAGGAAAAGACCGCATTCTCAACTGGGAAGGGACTCTGGCAATTTAAGGTGATGCCATTTGGATTATGCAATGCACCGGCAACCTTTGAGCGTTTGATGGAACAGGTGCTGGTGGGACTGCTGGGCGAAACCTGCCTAGTTTACCTCGATGACATCATCATTGTTGGACGGGATTTTGACGATCATCTAAGGAAATTGGAAAAGGTACTCGACAAGCTGCGTGGAGCAAATTTAAAGTTGAGTCCAAAGAAATGCTCTTTCTTCAAGCGCGAAGTGAATTATCTAGGACATGTTATTTCTGAGAGAGGAATTGAGACTGATCCAGCCAAGACTGTCGCTGTTAAGGAATGGCCAACACCTAAAGACAAAACGCAAGTTCGGGCATTTCTTGGATTGTGCTCGTATTATCGGCGGTTTGTGAAAGGATTCTCGGACATTGCCAAGCCTTTGCATCGATTGACAGAGGAGAAACGTGCCTTTATCTGGGACGAGGATTGTGAGCAAGCCTTTCGAGACCTAAAAGAACGGCTTTGTAACACACCAATTCTCGGATACCCCAGCGCGAAAGGAATATTCGTAGTTGATACGGATGCCAGCAATATTGGAATAGGAGGTGTCCTTTCACAACGCGATGGTGAGCAGGAGAAGGTTATTGCTTACTTCAGCAAGTCACTATCGAAGCCGGAGAGGAATTATTGCGTGACCAGGAGGGAATTACTGGCCGTAGTCAAAACCCTGCACCATTTCAAGAAGTATTTACTGGGACGGAAATTTTTGATCAGAACTGATCACGCTGCTTTGAAATGGCTGCTTCAGTTTAAGGATCCCGAAGGCCAAGTAGCCAGATGGTTGGAACAACTTCAGGAATTTGACTTTGAAATCGAACATCGCGGCGGAAGAATTCATGGCAACGCAGATGCATTATCGAGACGCCCATGCGTGGAGGATTGCAAGCATTGTGCCAAGAAGGAAATTGCTTTTCTTAAGGTGATAAGGACTGATACTGTTGACGAGGCATGGGGAGATGATGCAATGAAATTAGAACAGGAAAGAGATGCAGATATCAAACCAATACTGGAGTGGCTACGAAGTGGTAACAAGCCAAGTTGGAGTGACGTCGCCCAATATAGCGCAGTAACGAAAGGTTTATGGGCACAGTGGAAAAGCCTTACGCTGCATAATGGACTTCTGTGCAGAAAATGGGAATCAACAAACGGCAAGGACGAGCATTTGCAATTGGTGGTACCTCGTTCAAAAATAAGGGATGTATTAAAAGCGTTCCATGATGGATCTTCTGGAGGACATTTGGGGATTAGGAGGACTTTGGTGAAGATCAAGGAGAGGTTTTATTGGTTGCATTGCAAATATGACGTCGAAGATTGGTGCCGGAAATGCACTAGTTGTGCAGCTGTCAAGGGTCCACAAACAAGGAGCAAGGGGGCGATGAAAATCTACAATGTTGGTATGCCTTGGGAGAGAATAGCCTTAGACATCGCTGGACCATTTCCAATCACTGATTCGGGCAATCGCTACGTTTTAGTGGTTATGGATTATTTTACAAAATGGCCGGAGGTCTTTGCTATACCGAATCAAGAGGCAGTAACTGTAGCGACGAAGTTGGTAAACGAGGTATTCACCCGATTCGGAGTGCCCTTGGAGATGCACAGTGATCAAGGACGGAACTTTGAATCCCAAGTTTTCCAGGAAACTTGTAAACTTTTGGGAATCCATAAGACTCGAACGACCCCTTATCATCCACAGTCAGATGGAATGGTCGAACGCTTCAACCAAACATTGGAGCGACACTTAGCAAAGGTGGTTGACAGCCATCAGAGAGATTGGGACACTTACATACCTCTCTTCTTGCTTGCCTATCGGACTGCTGTACATGAAAGTACCGCAAAGACGCCTGCATTTGCAAATTTTGGAAGGGAATTGAGATTACCGGCAGATCTTGTATCGGGCTGTCCACCTGGTGATTCTCGCACCGAGTTTAGCGATTACATAAGCGAGTTAAGGGCAAAAATGTTGGACATTTATGAGCAGATCAGGGAGGCCGGTCTTCAAGCTAGTGATCGCGCAAAGACGCGCTATGATCGACGAGCCAATTCTGTTGGGTTTGAAGAGGGGTCATTGGTCTGGCTTCATAATCCAGTCAGAAGGAAGGGAAAATCTCCAAAGCTGCAACCGAGTTGGGAAGGTCCTTACGAGATAGTCACGAAGATCAATGACATTACTTACAGAATTCGGAAGTCTTCAAGGAGCCCTTTGAAAGTTGTCCATATAGACAGGTTGGCGAGGTATTACGGCAGCAACGATGCTCGGGACGAGCGAATCTAAGAGGGGGGCAGTGTGACAGAAAACTCTTTGACATCATGACGTCAATGGATGGTTGTCAAACGTTGCCTAGAGATTGTAAATTTCGTCGTGAATTGTCAACACGAGTTGGTGTAATCGGTAAGGCGTGTGGATTACACCACAGAGACCCCGAGTTCGAGTCCCGCCGTAAACATGAAGTTTTTTAGTTGATGGAAGTTTTGTCGAACTTTCTGGAATATTTGAGTGAAAGTGATGAAAAATTAAGGAGCGAGAAGGAGAATAAATAAAAATGAATAACGAAATTATTGGAAGGTTCTGGAGGCATGACGATCAAAAAGAATAACGAAATTGAATGTTCTAGAACCTGACCGGGGGTATATAAGCGGAACTGCGGCTCACCGCTGGCAGTTGTGTTCTAAGTCTAAAGCGATTCGGAAGAAAAGGAAGAAGTGAAAAAGAAGAAAAGTGAGTGAAATAGTGAAGTGCAGTGAAATAGTGAAGTGCAGTCAGTTAAGTGAGTTAAGCCAGCGTGAACGGCAAAGTTGTGTCAGTCGGCCGGGCTCTGCTGGAGAGGAACGCCGATAACTTAACTCCGTGGACGCTGTAACTTAAGTGCAATAGAAAGTCTGAAAACCGGTATTAGTGTTTCATTTCATCCAATCCCGTTACCCAAGCCCGCATAGTCAGGAACGTGACGTCAGGCACGTAACAATACTTTAATCAATAGTGTTTTTTATATTAAATACACAATTTATGGTAATTTTCATGTACTTACAGGTATTGCTGGCAACTCGACTCTCTCAACCACATCAGCCAGGATACTTGATCTTCTCCTCTTGCCCAAGTTTTGCAGCACTGACAGCTTCAAGAAAACGTCTTCTAAACTCTCCCCCTGGTATCGGCGGATCAGTTCCGTTGGTGATTCTTCTGCCAAGAATCTACCACCTCGCATGAGTCCGATCTAGAAGAATAGAATTGTTTAATTTGAGTAAAAGTTTTCTAAGGGATTGTGTTCACAAGGTATAAATTCCTATTTGGTAAAATAAATCTAAAAAGTCATATTGATTGATTGTAAAAAATATGCTCAAAACTAATAAGCCTTGCATTTATTTTCATTTTGAATATTTTTTTGTTTGTATATTTTAATAGTTATTTTTAGCGTTATTTTCTGCACAATTAAACTGTTAAGGAAGACGAAAAAAATATAAGTATACTCACAATATCAGCCTGCTTAGTCTCATCTATATAATGAGTAGTGATGATGACTGTAGTACGTCCGCCCTTGGTGATGTCCACCAAATGGTCCCAGATGCTGAAAAGTATGATCAAAAATTCTATAAAGCTGCGGTCAACAATTTTCGACTAACCAGTTTTGCTAACCAAAATAGTTAGTTGTCTCCAAAATTAATTTAAACTCTACGTTACCAAAGTTTTGATCCATATAGTCAATTAACAGTTTATCAACATTTTCAGGGATGAATTTAAGGGTATTTTTGAGTTTGCAGTAATTATTAAATTGTCTAAGCAAATGGAGATGGAAGATTTTTGGGTTCGACGAACTTGGAGGTCGATTCTGTTTAGTATCATGTACACAAGGGTAAATTTTGCCGAGCATTTTTTATCGTTGGTGTTAATTGCAAGTCATAATTTGGTGCTAATTTTATTTACGATTCCCTTATTAAATTATAGTTGTGCAAAAACCGCAATATACCTATATAAATTTAACTTGTTTTCTTTTTGATAAAAAATATTCAAAGGTAGAATACTTTTTGTGGCTGTGTAAAATTCTTATTTTCATAATCCTATGCCCTGATTAGGTAGAAATGATTTCTCAACATCCTTACAAGTCCCAAAATGCCAGCAACGTACTTGTAAGTACACTTTTCTGGTGATTGCTAAGCATCAGGTTATAAGTCTACTCGTGCTTGCTTGCTGGCCTATTCTATAATATATTTATAGAAGAAATATAATAAAGATATCACTCCCTCACACAGAACTCCTTCTCACAGAAAACGGCGTGAAACAACCACAGCGTTGTGTTTTGCCGTGTGATTGAGGTTACCGGAGGCCGAATCCTTCCCCACCCCCAATCCCTCCTCAATCCTTAAATCTCCAAATTCCTAATCCCTAAAAGTTTGGCAACGCACTCGTAACTCCTCCGTTGCGAGTGTCAATGGACGGCGCTGATTACTTACCATCAGGTAATCTGCTCGTTTGCCGATCTATTACATAAAAAAATTATATACTTGATCTTTAACCAGCGGTGCGGGTGCAGCACAATAATAATTATACCTCGGCCGATGAGAAGAAACGGGGTACTATTTAGTCAGTAAGAGTCTGACTAATACCCAGCTTAGGACGAGAGAAGTCATTTGATGATATTCCCCTTCAAAAAGAACTTATACGATACATAAATCAATAAGAACTATTTTCTTACCTCTGCCGTAAAACAGGGTCTACACCGACAGTTGGTTCATCTAGGATCAGCAGTTCAGGGTCATGTATTAAAGCTGCTGCCAATGATGTCCTCCTTTGTTGACCTCCAGATAAGTTTTTGACTTGTCTGTAATGTAAATGAAACAGTTATAGAGGTTTAGTTCTACTTTGTGCTTTTCGAATGTTTCTAGCAAGCAGGTTGAATGAAGTACTGTATCTGTCGATTGCAAAATCCTCGGTATGTGTATAAATAATACTTGGTAAAATATACCAATCCTCAGTAGTCTTAAATCATGCCTAAAACAAAGCATCTTCCCTGTTTTCAAAAGTTTAAAAAAATACTAAGCTAGGTTTTCTTGTCTGGGAAATATGTCTGTGCCATTTAAATATTTTTAAGCATTGTAAAACGTTCTATGTTGATGTGACATGTATTTATTCTAGTGCTAAGAGCGTGATCGTTCACAAATAAATTTGGAAGTAAAAAAATATGAAAACTACTGTAACGATTTTGATAAAATCTCGTATTATATAAATACGAGATTTTATCAAATATTTTATTATATAATACGAGATTTTGATAAAATCTCGTATTATATAATTTGAGATTTTGCAGCAATTAATTAATCTCTAAAACCTTAATTAATTTTATATTTAAAAAAATATTCTGCAATCAAGCATTATTTTTGGATGGACACTTAAAATTTCCCCTCTCTGTCTACCTAAACTCTTTTATCTAGAATGCACTTCCAATGATTCTATGTTCCTATACTATGATATATTGCGTATTTCATTAAGAACTTTCGTTATAATCGGTTAATTAGTTTCAATGATAGTCGAGTCGGATTTTTTTGAGAAGTACTACACAGTGCTTCATAGCCATATTTAAATTTGAATATATTATATCAATGGGTATATTTAAGTCATCAGGCACCTTGGCTATTTACTTTAAAACTTCAAAAGTCATGAATTCAGTACACTTTTTAATTAGCTGCTGTGATTACACTATTTGGTAATTAAGTGCTCTTTTGTTCAACATACCTGGTAGGATTCGGCAGCTGAAGCAGCTGGATCAAGAAATCAATTCGTTCCTCCACGTCCTTGGTTGGCATGTTAGCTATCCACCCAAAGTATATCAGGGTCTCTCTAATAGAAAACTCACCAAATAAGGCGATTTCCTGCAACAAATATTTCGTTATTATAACTTTTGTGATACTCATTCATCTTTTCTTAGTATTTTCGTATAAGGATACGAATATATTTGCCGAAACTAATGTTTTTTTGTACTTAATTATAGCTTTATTTTCCGGTTTTTTTTTTGTTGTGTAGAGCAATGTTTTTGGGTTAAAATAGGACCCATTAGGGATGTGATAAAAAAATCTAAGAAATCCTTCAGTTTAATAATTTAATATATTACCTACACAGGTTATTTTTATTTCTCATTTAATTTTTTTCACAAAATATATTAATATGTACGAGTACAAGGCGGACTTAGTGTTACAGGCCTTATATTTTGTCATATAAACTACAATTTATATGCATCCTTTCAGCATCTGTCAACGTTTATCTTAATTATCTTAGGAAGTTTATCTCAGATTTCGAACCTACACCCCTCATACTTGAGAAACGGGGTCCTTAACCTCCGGGCCAAGGCTACTATTCAAAGTAACTATTTGCACTATGCAAGATGTTTACTTAAAAGAATACACCTAGATATTTACTAAGGAAACATCCTGTATATGACCTTCGCGCATGTGTGGATAAAGATTACAATGCCACAGAGTGGCTATAGAAATACCTGGTGTACAAATATAGACCTTAATGGTACTAGGAAGTAAGGTTGTATTCAGCACGGTATGTTGACGGCACTATCACAATCTATGTAAAGATAGATGTATGTATGTTAATTTAGGCAAAAGCGGTAAAGATTCGAAGTATGTATATTAAATTGCCGTTCTGCAGTACTGGCCATTTCAAATTAAAATAGTTTTTGTTAGGCTAAGGCTAATTAATTTTGTTTTAAAAACATGGGATTCTTATTCCAAAAGTAGTCATTTGTTTATTGATTAGTGTTACATTTTCTTCGCATTTAAAATCAAAAAAATCCTTTAATTTTTATCATGCAAAACGGAAATTTCATAGGTAAAGACCTATTATAAAAATGGGGCTGAAATGTATTATAGGTAACTAGTTTCTGCCAGATTCGTTAGCAGATGGATAGGAAAACCCTATGTATGATTTTAGCGAAGCGATCAGCCAGCGACCTCGCTTTTCCAGCCATAGTCGACGCCATAATGCGAAGCGAGAGGAACTGGGAAGCCGTCGTCTCCTGTGCAGCAGTCATGCTCGCAAAGGTAGAGGTGGAACGTGTGTTGGAACTATCCTCCTCATGCCCAACAAGAGATGCTCCAGGACCCTGGCTCGACGCAGAAGAAGTGGAGTGGTTTTTTAGTCAGTTAGAATCTGACACTCCCTCTTGCCCCAGCAAGGATAGGAACGGTCTTAAAAAACCCGAGCGTACGGCGTGTAGCGTTCCACGCGCGTCTTAAAGAGCCAATAGACCACCACAGACGGGGCACTAAAGGGCTGATGTTTTCCTGAGGTAGCGGGGCAAGCGCAATGAGGCACTGCCTCGACCCAGAGCAGGAGAAGGAACGTGGGGATTTTTACTAAGTAAGGGTCTGACAATCTCTCTCGCCTTACCCTGGGCGGGAAAAGTTAAGTACCTACAAGTTTGATGACTTTCCTGTAATAATAAAAACCTCAAAAAAGCAAATTTACTTCTCTGCAAAATTTTATTCTGATCGAACGTAGGATATAAAAAGGTTATAAGTAAGATAAAAGGCATAAAAAGGTTAGTTGTAGTTGAAAGAATTCAGAGACCAACAAAAAAGAACAATTTTTTAAATTAAATTACACAATTAAATAGGCAAGCAAGACGAGTTCAATAAAATTCCAAATTCAAAAACTGAGGTCGACGCGCGCTCATTGTGCATTGACTTTTCATAATACCCACAAACTATTTCAAAATGAATGGATTCGATCGTATTTTGTTTGTTACTGAAGTGATAATAAAATTTAGCAATTCTTTTTAATATTTTATTTGAAAGAACTGCTGGTTTATTTTTCTTTACAATTAGTAAGTAATGATAGGACTAAAACGTTTTGTAACTTAATGTGACATAGTGGTGTCTAAAATATGAATAGTATACTAATTGAATGCTGTTTATGAGGTGAAAATATTATCATGTTTTTATTTCTTCTGCCCCGGGTCGGGATAAGAGGGAGTGTCAGAGTCTTACTGACTAAAAACCCTCGAGAAAGAGTAGGGGGAAGCGACTGTTGCTCTGTGCCTAGGGCGTGGTACATAACCGCCTGCACCCACAACCCCACGGGATAATAGAGCCTGGTTGGCCCAGCTAAGAGGTAAAAGAGAGAATGAATGCAGAACTACCATTTCTACTTCGACCAACACAATAACAGCAAGCGAAAATTTGCAAGAAGACATATCAAGGTACTACAACCAAGTATTCTTCATTAATTCATCAAAACCCAACCGAACGCGTTCGCGCACCTATTGTTCTTCTATTATGTCTCGAATTACCAAGATTAAAAGGTTAATAATTCCTTACAAGTTTCTTGTGGTACTACAGAAACCTTCCACTTGACCTTTGTAACTCAATATATGTAAGTAACATGATATATTGCTATCCTAACATACTAAAGAACTAGGCAGATTTATACATATACTAGCGGCCTGCCCCCGCTTCGCACGGGTCCAACTATATCGCTATCAATGGTAACTTTTTCCTAATCTTCCCCACTACTTTTCTAATATTTTCTTTGATAAGAACCTTCTCCTGACAATAACAAATACAACAAAAAAAGAATTAGCAAAATTGGTCCAGACGTTGTTGAGTTATGCGCTTACCAACACATTTTGCGATCCATTTTTATATATAAAGATAAAAGTTTTAGAAACTAAGTAGATCCACTTAACAACATCTGACTTCTTTTGAAAAACTTTTATGGAATGTCAGACCATACGTATTGTTTCTGACTTAACTATTAATATCTAGACATTATCTACTTTAATTACTATTCTAGTCAAAAACGTCGTATCACCCTTAAAAGGGTTAAATGGATATCTACCTTATTTGTAAGACGTTGTGGTTGGTTAAGTTTGATTGTGGTTATGTCATATGTGATGAATTATCGTTAGATCAGTGAAGTGCTATTTGTATGCTACTAGTTTTTGTTGAAAACTTTGTAGACGCATAAGAACCTACTGAGTGCCTAGTGAAAGATCCAAATTAACCAAATAAAAAGGTAAACTAAACGCTGTACCGCATCTACCTAAAAGTAACTCTAACTCAGCACTCTAGAAAGCGAGAGAACAATATGGTAGTTTCCTAGGTCAAAAATAATTTAATCAACGTCTCAATACAATAAAATATTGAAAAATAACAATAATCTTATTCACCGATCTCTCTCCGAAAATAATTAATTTTGAGCCTACTTACCTAAAAAACTAAAGATTAGATAAAAAAAAATTATAAACAAATATTTATAATAGCCATCTCATTCCCGACAGGGCCTACAATGCTCCTAAGCATGTGCTGCTTATATCCTTCCTTATGTAAGCTATCACCTTTTTCTTTTGTCAGGTGGTTCTTTTTTTCAAGAGGAAGTGTCAGACTCTTACTGACTAAAAACCCCCCGTTCTTTCTCCTGCTCTAGGTCGAGGCTGCGGTGCCTCATTGCGCTTACCCCGCAACACCGTCTGAACATTAGCCCTATGGAGTTCAGTCTGTCGTGGTCTATTGCCATGTACCTTACCACCTAAGTCTACATGGTAGAATGCAATAACTGTCAGAGTAAATGATACTACCTGATAGAAAATTTTATATTGTGTAACTTCGAGCATAGCTTTTGTTCAAAAAACTATGGTCTTATGAACCGTCTACATATCAAGATAAAAGTAAAGAAATGAATACAACTTCCGACCAACCTGAGGCATATACCCGATCCTAGGTCCAGGTACTCCACTTCCAGGACTGCCAGGTTTTCCACCTAGCACCCAGATCTCACCAGAGTTCAGTCTTCGTCTACCTACGATACAGGATAGTAAGGTGGTCTTTCCACACCCTGATGCTCCGAGAAGACCATATCTGGAAAGAAAAGACGAGAATTGAATGTTAGTAAGTTTCTGTTATAAAATAAACTTATGTGATATTGTTTTCCTTTTGAGGTGACCAAATCATCAAGTGTCTTCTTCGGCCCTGAATGTGATAATTGCTTCATCTACGTAAGAAGATTCCTTATAATCTACCACAGCTGCCAAACCGAAAGGAGATTGAGAGTTTAAAGGTGAACCCCTAGTTTAGACAGCACTATTGGCAGGTCTCTGTTAAGTAAGTGATTCTAAGAAGGCCTCTATAGTATCCACAGCAAGAGTAGAAGTCAGAATTAATAAATCGACACAGCCGACGCACGGCAATAAAATTGAAATAAAAATGTCAGTGGCAAAAGTAGTAAATAAAGAATGTAAAATTCCCGCTCTCCAATAAAGTTTTACTGAAGTAAAGTTCAAATGTTGTGGATTGAAAATAGGAAAACTTGGACTGTGCAGTGTGCAGTGCAAGCCGACACAAGAATATCGGTTCCTGAATATAAAACTTTTCGAAAGTTTGGTGTACAAGTTATATTTATTTATTGTTAGAAGATTGGTGTCTTTTTTAAATGTAGGTAGTTTATAATTTTTTTTATTTGAATCGCTTTGCGAGTATTTATTTTGGGGGCATTCATGATGATGACTGTGATTGAAGATTTTACTGATGATGAAACTTAAAATAACTCTTTTGTATACGTTGTGCTGCTGTTAAACACAAATTGGGTTTCCTAATTGTGTACAAGAAATGTTTTTGATAGACAGCTACCATAGTAAATGTGTTACAATTAATTAGATCTTAATATATAAAAAAATAGATACTATTTTCCCAAACATATTAAAGGTTTATTAAATTGGAGATAAGACTTTTTTTAAACATTTAGTTTTTTGTCGTTTTTCACCAATTGTTTTTTTTTTTTTTAATTTTAAGTTAAGTAGAATTTCTTTCGATAGATTTTTCGTCTTTTTAATATGAAGAATACTATCGAAACAAATTCTTCTGGTGTTAACGGATTAAGAGTATATCCTAATAAATATAGGGTATACACATTTAATTTAATATCACAGTTAACATATAAATAAAAATTAAGTTAATTACTTACATGGCTCCCTTAGGAACTGTCATATTCAATCCATCAAGAATGATGTTAGGATTCTTCTGTGTACCGTATCTCTTGTGAGCCCTTCTGACGCACACCGCCTGCTGTTTCCTACAACAGAAGATGATCATCAATATTTATTGAACTTAAAACAAAAAATAAAAAAGGTGCACTAATAACAACCCAGGTATGGTCTGATATTCGACTTTTGGGTGATGCAGAAAAAAGTTGTTCTGTTTCAGATATTCAGAGAATAGTTGCTACTTTTTAAATACATTAAATGTTTTTTCTAAGCATATTTTTCTTGTAATATATTCTAAAGCCAATATAAAATTAGTTTACTTGGTCAACACATGACATAATTCGTTTAAAATACACCACAAAAGCCATTGGAATATGAAAAAAATAATATTACCTCATTCAAAGAATATTTAATAAAGTTCTTTTTCTAATTTCTCCACTAAATAAAATAGAGAATTTAAATCTTCTTAACAATATCTCCAGAAGAATTATCAACACAAACATACCTTGAAGCTACGGTAGACTTCTGTGTCTTAAACATCTTATGTCTTCTGGCAATGAGCTCCTCTTCAATGGTGCTGATGGTGATCGGCTGTTCTGGAGGCCTGACATCCTCCATGGATATCGTCGCCCCCTCATTGTCATACGCTGGCATTTTTTATCTGTAACAAGATGGAAGATAAATATGAGAACTACTGAATACCTGCTCAGATCAGGTTGTTTAAATTAGATTCCTAGTTGCTTCTTCTCAGACGTTGAAAGAATAAGCATTAATCACCACGCTTGCTCAAGATGGAATGACGATTTCAAACTTATAATTTGGTATTATAAATCCATATTGTCTCACACGGAGTCACACTATTATTTTTCACCATACATGTATTCCACATGTATGCTTCTGAAGAATTTAAGAATTATATTCCAATTTCAAATTCTTTTGTGAACAGAAAATCACTTTATTACTTTCTTTTTTTTTTCTTTAAGCAAAGAACAAAGAATTTAGTCTCGACAATTTACAAAATAATTATAAGTATATTAAGCAGCTAGTTTGAGGTGATTACCTAAGTAGAGTTAAGTTGTAACTGAATATACGTTGCTAGGTTCAATGCCAGGGTTGGCAACCTGGTCAAGGCAAAGTAAGCACGAACGGAAACCTATCAGGTTTACTACACACGCAAAAACTAATTCTTCATTACTAGCAATTCTTTTTGGTAATGGCTGAAATTAACACCTTTGTTAATCCTATGACGCCTGTTTATTCTGAAGGACGTTGGAATTAATAATTTATATGATAATAATTATATTTTTGGCAAACAGTGTTTACAGGTAGATACAAAACAGGATTATTGGAGAAAAATCTTTTGTCAATGGGCCCTGTCTATATCTAAACTAACATTATAAATGCGAAAGTAACTCTGTCTGTCTGTATTTTCTTCACGCCTAAACGACTGAACCAATTTCTGAGAAATTTGGTACAGACATAGTTTGTAACTCGAAGTCACTATTCCAAACGAACAGAGTCGCGGTCAAAATCTAATCTATTAATAAATACCCCAGGCCTATAAAGAACACATTAGGTCTATTCAAAAATTAGAGATTTAAATAGATAGATAGATATAATTAGAGATAAAATTAGAGGCTTACATAACTAACTTACAGATAAATACTAAGGCTAACTTATAGATAAATGTTATTATCCAATTCAAGATTTTTCGAATGACTATAGTCTGTACCTAATAATTTTATATGTTTCTTTGATAATTTAAAGAAAATAAACTATGTAATTTGATGATGAAAGTCGTATGTACGACTGCGACCTACTACGATTGACGACCGCATAGGATGTCAATAGGGTTGAATGCAGGTGAAGTAAATTATCGACACTATGCCAAATATGCTTCAAAGATCGCTCATGTGGGCCTTCATCATGTGGTTATATTATAAGTTTTAATAAAAAAAAATGTAATAGATTCCAGGTCGTCAATATTATGGCATAAGAAGGCTCGTAGTCCATAAGTGTACGATCACGTTTTGTTGATGTAGATCATTTTAAAACAGAACAAAAGTTTCGTTTAATTTCTAGCCCGAATTCGTGGGTGCAAAAACAATGATATACACCAGGATCGATCTGGAGCAGGAGAAGCAATGCGATAATATAATTTTTAATCAACAAGAGTCTGACACTTTCTCGGCACACCTAGGGTGGAAAAAATTATTTGATGTGTTTATCCATCAATAAAAAATGACGGTTACCTATTTGCCGCGATTCCAGCTCTGAGTAGGAGTATAAACACGGCGATTTTTTATTTCAAAAAGGCAGCTTTTATTTAAATCTTTGACGAAAACGTCTAATTGCAAACAAAACACAAAAAAATATAATAATATATAAAAGTTTGTATGCAAATAGCCTGTCGTATTTTTCTAATTTAAAATTAGTATTTGAACAAATCTACGTAGGATTCTATTATTTTTCTTTAGGAACTTTGAATTTTTAATATTAAATTATCATTAACAAAATAATTTTATTTTTATAAGTCTGGTTATTTGCATGCACCTGCATAAAGATTTATTATTTAATAATAATACTAAAATGAAAATAGAAAGTTTTTAAATTGTAATCTTGTTATATAAAATTAATTTGAAAATGTAATAAAAGTAATAGAACTATAAACAAAAAAAAAGAAATTTCTAATCTAATAAGGACTTAAATCAGCTTTTCGATTATTTAATTTATTAAAAAAAATCAAGTAAAATGTGCTATTTCGCCAAATAAGTAAATAATGCATATATAACATATCTGATATAATAAGTTGGTATATAAATAAATTATATACTTCTATGCCAAGCCAAGCATAATAGGCATGTTGTTTTATGTAATATTCATATTGTATATCTATTTATAACCATTCGAAGGTCAAAGGTTAAAATACAAGGTCAACATTCTTAATTATAGTAGCTTCCTTTAGTATGAAAATAGACGTATATAACACATTGTTAAGTGAACTATTATTAGAATTATTAAAACGAATAATTCACTATTCCTACTGCCTATCCTACTAATATTGTAAACTAGCGACCCGCCCCTGCTTCGCACGCGTCTTTAACTATCTCGCTAACGACCAAAGTATCCCTATTTCCCAGATCCCCTAATCTTCCCCTCTACATTTCTACATTTCTTTCATAAGAACCTTCTCCTGACCATAAAAAACACATCAAAAAAAGAATTAGCAAAATTGGTCCAGGCGTTATTGAGTTATGCGCTTACCAACACATTTTGCGATCCATTTATATATATATATGTAAAGATGTAAAAATTCGTGAGAATGTATGGATGTCTGTTTGTGGTTGTTATTCTTTCACACAAAAATGGATGGACCGATTTAGTCGGAATTTGGTGTGTAGATAAATTATACCTTGATTAACACATAGGCTTTTTTGTTTTTAATGGGACGAGCTTGCCACAACCTCATAAGCCCAATAACTTGTAAGTTTCAGCAGCCAGAGTTGCAAGGAAAAGCATTACAAAAGGAAATCACATGGCTTGAAATCGACATTCGAGATAGATCCACATTAGGGATGTGGATTTCAAGCCATGTGATTGGTGAATCGCGGCACAGCTCATCTCCGCTCCGCCTCATTGGAACTACACCCTTAACCGCGGCCCGCTGCCAACGTAGGAGAAAGAACGGGAAGTGTTTTTAGTCAGTAGCAGTTCGGCAGTTCCTCTCACGCAGAAGAAAACATAGGACCACATCACACATCACGAAGCCTATAAAGTGCCCACTGGTGAGCAAAGGCCTCTGCTCACACGGAGAAGGTTTGAGCATTATTCATCACGCTTGCTCAACGCGGGTTGACGATTTCAAACTTATAATTAGAAATTATAAGTCCAGGTTTCCTCACGATGTTTACCTTCATCGTATGCCAGTGGTGTCTAAATAATCATAGAAAGTACATATAACTCGGAAAAAGTCACATTGGTACTTGCCAGGTTTCGAACCCACATCCTCACGATATTTATATTTTTTTTATTATAAGTTTGAATTTTCAAACCCGCCTTGAGCAAGATTCGTATAAAAAGAGGCCTTTGATCAGCATCGTGCACTTATAGGCTGATGATGATGATGACGACGATTAAATTCGTTATTCAAGTAGCTATAAAGAAAACCTCAAACAAAACAATAATAGACATTGTGATCTTCATTTTTATTACAGCCTGTAATGATTGTCGTGTCATAAGTCAATTACTAGGCAACCATTACGATGACATACGTACCTACTTCATACGGAAAACATTATTGGTAATATGAAAATGATAGCACTTAGGTTGTGGTTGGATAAATTCTTAAGTAGCAAAACATATTATAGGTAACGTGAGCATGTAAAACCGTACTTTTTATACAAGAGTAAAGATGGAGTTTCTTGCTCGTTCTTCTCAATTTGAATCTGCACTTTGGAACGAGCACCTAGCTTCACTGCACTATATATTGTTCTATTTTGATTTTTCTAAAGTTTTGTACCAATTTGACTTTACGTTGGTAATAATAATAAATCATTTATTTTCTCTTCACAATAGGCATAGGTCTTAAAATTCGGAAAGCTAGGACTATAAACTTTAACCTATGCGAGAGACTGGTGCCTGATGTACCGGGTAAGTTCGGGTTACTTTGACCCTGCGGGGTAACTTTGATCCAAACCCTTTAACCAATAATAACTGAGAACCAAACATATATTTGTTTTTCAATGGTTCGAAAATTTGGATCAAAGTTATCTCCCAGGGTCAAAGTAACCCGAACTTACGGTAGGTCTTTTAATTAAGACCTGTGTCACAGGTCATATATAGCCAGGTAGGTATGCATAATAATAAGAGATTTAGTAAGCTGATACGAAGAATTTTTGTCCAAGGAGTATAATATGTCAGCGGAAAATAACAAGAACGGTAAATTTATATATTCACTAGAAAATGTATACCTATAAACTTTTGTAGAATTCTTAACAAGGGATGAATTGTATTTATTACTTTAGTAAAAAAATACATCACATAAAAAACAAATGACTGAGGTCACCGAAGGTCCAATCCTCATTATATCTTATCCCAAAACACCGGCAACGAATTCAAAATAAATTCGAATTATGAAGGTAACTAACACGGAAACACACTCTGTAGGTATATATTCTAGAAAAACTTCTATTAACATATAAATACATACATACAGCAACGTAAATACATGTTTATTTCCTGAACTTTATGAATTAAAAAAAGTTGTTTCAACATCTACTAGTAATTTTATTATAGTAAGGTTTATAATTTGTTTGTTAAAACAAAATATATTTAAACTGGACGATTAGTGCAGTGTGGGAGAGCCATGTTTCGGCAGGAAAGGGTCAGCTCGACCTGAATGACACCACGTTCTTAAAACCGGCGTGAATCAACACTTACGTTGGTTTTCACTATGTCAATGAGGTTACCGGAGACCTATTCCTTCTTCCGCTCCCCTAATCACTACATCTCCGAAACCCTTATCTCTAAAAGGCCATAACTCGCAACTTTATGTTGTTGCAGGTAAGGCTTTGTGCTATGTCCGGCGCTGATTGCTTACCATCAGGTCCGTTGTATTGGTCGTCGTTGTATGCTTGGTTGACGAACTATCTCATTAAAAAGACGATGAAA